AGCAGCAGCGGCTCTGCCGCCAGGAACCACGGCACCACCGCGGGGGCCGTCAACGCCGCCGGGGTTGGCGTCTACGTCGCACATCTCGCGGGAAGGTGCCCGAGGTGGCGACAACGGCGGCGGTGGCGACGGTGGTGACAATGACGGCGGCCAAGTTGAAGCGGGGGTAAGCGTCGTCGTTGTCGCGGAAGTAATGAAGGTCGTAGTTGATGCCGTCGGGCACGTGAGCCAGGCGGCCGGAGGCCGTGCTGTTGTCACGGAGACGGCGCAGAGGGCTGCGGGAGGCGCCAGCGGAGCGCGTGGCGGAGGAAGCCGACGAGGGCAAAATGGCCGAACCGCCGCCGCCGCCGCCAGCCCGCTCACACCTCATGATCGCGCCGCTCCCGCCGCCGACGCTAAGACCAGCATTGATGCAACCGCCAACGCCGCGATTCACTCAGTGAAAGGGCCATCAACCGCTGTGCCGCCACAGCAGCCGCCGCCGCCGGGCCTAGGAGGCCTCCCCTCCTCTGCAGCAGGTGCTGCTAGTGCCAGTGCGCTGCCAGCAGGAGTGGGTGGAGGGACGGCCGTTGCCAGCGGCGGATCTGGCTCCGCAGCCGCCTCGCCTGGAAGGACGGAACGGCCGGTGGGTAGGCTGGGGCACATGCCGGCGGCGCAGCTGGACTCTGAGCGGCTGCCTGATCCCCCACAGACACAGGCAACAGCGTCTATTGCGGGTGCGGGTGCTGGGAGACTGGACGCGGAAACGGCGGCGGGACAGAAGAAGATACCCGCGGAGGCGGAGGCGGCGGCAGCAATGACAGCGGAGCCGCAGGCGGCAGGGGAATCAGAGCACGCGGCGATGGCGGCGGCAGCGGGACTTGTTTCTGTGGATCTGTCGCCAGCGGTGGCGGCGGTGGCGACTCCCTTTGTGACGGCGGCGGCGCCGGTGGGCGACGCCAGGCTGGATGCACCGCCGGCGGCGCCTAACCGCATTACCTGTGGCGGTCCCATCGGCCGTATCGGCAGCACCGGTCGGCCCTCTTCCGGGGCCCTTGAGGATTATGTTCGCAGCGTTCCTGCGCTTAAAGGTTGAGAGCGCATCCGCGTTTTTGAACCTGGCGCGACGCTCACGTCCGGCCGCACACCGGTGGGAGGAGCGATAAGCTTTTGCTGTGGCGTATCGTGGTGTGGCTGGAAGGGGCAGCGGACTTGCGTTGCGCAACTGGTGCACAACTGGTGCAAAGCGGATGTGTGGGCGAGAGTAACGACTGACGTGTGTAATTCGGACATTGAAGTTTGCGCGGCGTTCAGAAGATTGCAGCTCACAAAGCTCACACACGCCGACGCGTCACTCCATCCACAGTGACCAGAGAGCCGCAGCTTGGCGCTACGGAAGGAGAGTGCGGCAGCGGGGACGCATACGTGGTTCCTGTGGAGTGCGTGGAGAGCTGGAAAGCACGGGCTGGTGGGGTTGCTATGGGGAATTGGGGATACCATAATAGCGGCACGGTAGGGGCAGGAGAGGAGCGCCTGCTACCTGCTACCTGCTTCAGGACCGGCGCTTCATGTGGAAGAGTGTGGACATAATGCAGGCTGCCGCAATGGACCGACCGTCCACCGCATGGGATCAAATTTGGGGTGTCGTTCTGGTTGTGCACCGTGCGGTGCGTTAGCAGCAGCACACGGCTGGGATGCGAAGGGTTGTGTGCTCGCTGATTGGTGATCCGTAGCCAGCGCCATTTGGTTCCAACCTTTTCACCGCCCCTATTTCAGTGGCATGGAAGTGCGGCTGTTTGGGTTCACTCCAGGCCGTACCGTATTGGTGAGACCTGGAGGTGTTGGTTGGGCTGTGTGGCTGCTCTCTGCGTCAGCCTGATGTCAGAGTCATATCAGAAAAATAACTAGGGTGTGCTGTAGCAGTAGATGATATCTAGGAAGGCCTGTACATACTTACGAGCGAAGCAGCCCTAGCAGTGGTATATATAAGCACGTAGTTTGCGCTCAAAGTGTCGCAGTCATTGCTCCGTTTCGTTCGTGTCCTGATGGAGTGCTCAACAAGCACTACAGGAGGGCAGCAGGAGTGGGGCGGGCGATGTGCCCAAAAAACTTGGTTTTGCGGTGCACGGACATGTTGGGATTGAAGAAGACGTCTCCTCTTCCACCGCTCCCGAAACGGAAGGGGAACATCAAGCTCCGTACAAATGGCCGACAACACCAACCTTTTGGCGTGACCGTGTCATTCCATAGCGACGCAGTGCCATATCTGTTGTATAGAATGTCCTCTAGGATTAGTAAGCAATGCTGGACATCCCACGGGTCGGCTTGAGAGCGCAATGGTGGGGACAGGGCAGAATCAAAAAGATAGTGCACACCAAAGCATTTCCGCTAATTGCGGATCAGACCTACGGCGTGTTGGCTGTGCACGTGCGAAAGTTACAAAATCATGCCGTAATGCCCGGCTCAAGGATAGCCCCACGAGGGTAGCAGCATCATGTCAACCTGGCGCAAAAGCTGCTAGGTAAACGGCAACCTCCCTCAAAAAACACGCCTGACCAGAGGGTTAAGCTGCGCTATTCAGTAAAATGCGCAGGTGGACTGTGCTAAATGCACAGGTACGGTGAAAGAATTATTTCATCGACGTAACACTCCCCGGTATACTGTGGATTGTACAAAGAGGAGGATAGAATCGAACAGCACCCTGCAGCAGTTTTGAACTAAATCGTCATATGCCCTAATCTACACCGTCAATACAAGACGCGCTCCAAATGCCACCTCCCAGACCCTCAACAATGGACCACTCGAGGTCGCAACAATCCACCACACCCTCGCCCACACGCCAAAGCACCACCGTAGCAACAGTAACAAACATACAGCACACTTTCGCTCCAAACAAGCAAGCTTCACCGGACCCAAATCCGGCTGATATGCTCAAGGGCGTGACTCACAACGACACTGTCCCGCCAATTGCGTCCCGGCCCTAAACGTCATAAGCTGTACAGGCAATTGCATTGGGCCGTCCTCGGATAACCGCTATTGAAGTTACCCTCCTGGAAAAAGGTAAAAAAATTAATTTGCCATATCATCCCAGGTGCAAACTCACAGCATGCAGGACTGAAACCCACCAAGCACGCCAGGAGAAGCCAGGGCCGCGGCCCCCTCAAGCAACCGCTGGAAGATATATATATCTTCCACGCCACGTCAAGGGCCTGTTGCCGTCTGTGTCCTCGCATCCCGCATCCCGGCTTGCGCATACAGCAAACGTGTCACCAGGTATCCCCGCAAAGTCGTCGTTCCGATGTTCGAGATCCCGGAAAATGCAGGCTCATCAGGCCCGCTAAAGCATGGAAGCCAGCGCGCACATCATGCCGCGGGGGGCCGCAGTAGTGAGTCCTGGGTACTGTCCATCATCTGCGGCGGCAACCAGTACATGCCCTGATACGGCATCATCCCCTGGACCGTGTTCACCATAATTGGCTTGCTCGGCCCAGCCCCAGCGTTCGCTCCAGCGACGTTAAAACTAACCCCAGCGGTGCTCACAGATGCCCCAACAGGCCCCAGAGCCGTTCCCGTGGCCGCGGGCAAAGGCATCTGCGTCATCATGGCGCCTTGCGCCTGCGCTAGCAGACCCCCCTGCGCCTGCGCTAGCACGCTCGCCTGCCCTGCCTGCTGCTGCTGGTTCGACATTGTTGGGAGAGGAGGTGTCGATGCAGATGGCAAGCTTGCCGCGCTTAGCAGCGGGTTGCCGGCCGAAGCAGCCATGGCTGTCGGCATTTGCAGATGCGGATGACCCATCGGTGCCCCTGCAAAACGATCAAGGGAGGACGGCATCGCCAAGTTACAGTTGACTTGGATTTCGAGTTAACCCAAGATGACCCCCCTTCGTTAACCTACCTGCAATGACTGGGCATGCCATCATGCCTGCTGGCCCGCCAACCAACATCGCCTGCCCAGCCGGCATCATCTGCCCCTGGCCCATCATCATCAGGCTGTGTTGGTAGAGCTGCTGGCCGCGTTCACGCTCAAGTGATGATACCCGTTCCTGCTCCAACGTGGAAAACAAGGTCAGGCTCCAACCTACTTCAGGGAACATGCAAGCGCTTAAGCCGGGCTTTGAGTTGCCACGACGTACCTCCAAGAACTTATTCAGCTGCTTGAGCTGGTGATTTTCGACAGTAATTTGCTGCACGTACTTGATAGCGTCCGTTAGGATAGTGCTTTTGTCCGTTTTGGGCTCATTCCCGGGGTCCACGAGCCGTGCTAAATCAAGGAACCTGAAGAGCCGAAACGGCGTCACAACCATAGGACTCGACGTGACCTAATACGATGCCCAGTGCTTACCGCTCGTTTAGCTTTTCACGCCTTGCTTTCTCGCGGCAAGCCTTTTTGGTCGCCGCTGCGGACATCTCTCCCCCTTTCGTCCGCTTGCCTGCCGACTTCTCGCCTCTGCCGGCTTCATCCTCTTCATCGGATTCTGAGAATCCAGCGTCATCTAACGGCCGCTTCATTCCTTGGGCGGAGGCTGCCAGCGGCCCGGGTTGCGTAGCTGCGCTAACTGCGGCACCACTTACACCTGCAAGCTCACGTTGGGCGTCCGCAACCTGACAGATCGCTTGTAGGGTCGTAGAATCCAAGGCCTCTGACCCAAAGACAAGGTCGTCTGTCAAGAATTCCAAAAAGCTTGAGTTCAGAGCATCGTCGGCTGCCCCGCCCTTCCCAGCTTGTTCCAATTTACAAGACTGTTCAAGTGAGCAAGGTGCCTCCATCAGACTCAAATTGGGTGCTGAATCACCGTAACATAGCATCTACACCACTAATTTACACAGCGTGCCATATTGCAAGTGACCTAAGCAGAATAACCAATAATTGCGGTCAGGCTGCGAGTGGACTAATGGGCCACAGCAGACACAGGAGTTAGGCCGGTCCTGATCTACAGGTGATGCCGTACAGTAGCATTTCCTTTCTTTCTGCACTGATGTGAGGAGAAAATGGGCCTCTCTGAATGTCTCGTATTTATGCATAAGTGTCATGGTTGCATAGCATGGGACGTGCCTTGATCGCAGCTCGGCGTACAACGCCACACTTATCATTTCCACTTTTATACAGTAATTAAGCATAAGCATATGTAACGAAGCAAGTCAGCCATATACGCCACCAACGCCGTGTGGGGAGAGAACCCGAGTGTATGTACATGCCTAGCTACTTGAACACCAGGCCCTTCAAGTCCCTCCACCATTTCCGACACCCAAAGCCGCGGGGCACACAAACCATATAATGCACAGAACGCTATGCTTGCACAGAACGCCAACACAACTCGTCTTCTCCTGGGCCTGCTCACAGCCCAAGCACGTCTGCGGTGCCGGGCCCCACGGTCGCCATGCCATCTAGCTTGTTCTCCATCTCCATGTGCTGCCGGAAGATGGGGTTGTTCTTGAATTCTAGGTACAGCGTAAAGAGAACATGCAGTGACTCGATTGGGTCGTCGTACACAGGGATATCCAGCAAGGTGCAAACCAGCTTGGCGTACGTCTTGATGTCCAATTCCTGAGGACGATATGGCATGGAAAAAATGTTACGCACGGCCCAAGTACAAGCCGACATGCCTACGCATCAGTCAAGCGCGTAACTCTATAACGCATGCACATGAGGTAGTTGCAACTCCACCACGGACTGAATAACTATTGTCATGGTGCAAACTTCTTTAGCACGATGACAGCTAACGCAAATCCAGGTGTGTTTCTCCCGTCCTTTCATTCAATCCTGGTTGCCTGTCAAAAAGTAGGTGGTGTCAGCCGTCCACCGCTGCGGTATCTGCCGTGATGACTCCCACAGGTGGACCCGTTTGTCAAGGCTTCTTACACCCGCGGCGCATTGCTATATTAAGACGATCGAATGCGGAATCATACTGAGATGCCCTGGGGAGTGCCCGCACATCTCTGCATGATTTACAGCTTGCCCTAGAGATTGCAGCCTAGAAAACAGAAAGGCATAAGGAGCACCCATGACCAAAAACCCAAACCCATTACTGACCACATCGCCCGACGGCATTTTCATGGTCTTCAAGAAAGTTTCCACCTCCGGCGGCCACTCCTGCATTAGCGCCTCGATTTCGGGCATCCGTTTGCTGTACGACACGCTGGCCGGTGGCTTGGCTTTGTGGATGTCCAGAATCGAACCTGCGCCGTGAGAAGGTACACGTTAAGGGTACCGAAATACCGCAAGGTCCTCGGTCTGGCTTCCAGGCACGAACAGATCGCCAGGGTGCCCGAAATGTTCCCCAGGCACTGACTGAAAGGACAGACAGGCGATTGATGTTGCCAAGCGCACAAAGCTAGTTTTGCAAGACGGTCGTGGCAAGGCCCGAAGTACTGGTTTGGATTAGGACACCAGGCTTGTTGGGGCACATTGGCAGGTGGTTTGCAAGCCGGGCTGACGTTAGCTCACCAATCCATTGCTGAATCTTTTTTGCCTTGTTCTCGTCCGCGTGCTCCAATCGGCCCACCATGTCAGCCTTCGCACCCGGCGCTTCCTTAGAGAGCTGCCGCAGTTGAAGTGTAAGTACGGTGGGATCTGACTGCTTGGCAGCCGGCTCATCCAGCACCTGCAAATTTAGGCCACATTGAGCTTCTTTCTTGCGTGAGAAAATTAGACAAGCGGGTTAGAGGAAGTATGGAAGGGACGTCCTCCAGCGGCATCCCGGAAGGTCGCAACTGGGTTGCCTTTTATGAGACCGTTATGAAAGGCATGGCACACCGGTACTTCCTCCTTTCGGCTAGTTCTGAACCTCAGCAGCAGACGTACGGGCGGCTGCTATGTCCCGGCAGTATAATCCACAAGCAACATTGCGCCCCGACATCTAGCTGTCTAAGGCACGCTTTTCCGAAACAGAGATGATGGCTTGTACCTTGAGGCCCAAGTAATCGGGCTTTCCGTCGGGCCGCGGCACCTTGATGAACTCATCGATCCCGCCCACCGCTGGTATGTAATCGGGAATAAAGGGTTTGAGCTTAGTCTCCAGCTCCACTGTCTGCGGCTTGTACCTGCCAATGTACTGGAACAGCTCCCGCACGTCATCCGGCACGTTTAAGTGCTTATACTCCTGCGCGTTGTACGCCCCCACGGGGGCACTGTCGTCCCCTCCACCAGCGCCTCCTTGTCCTGAGGCCAGAGCCGCCAAGGGAGCTGCTCAGAGCACACAGTTTGCAAAACAAAACATCGTTGATCGCTATACAGTAGGCCGCGTGGCTCACCATCTTGGATTGCGGATTAGGAACCGTGTTACGCTTTTGGATTCAGGGGAGTTAGCCAGGGCTTCAGCGGTATCAGACATTGTTGAACACAAGGAGGGTACGATCCTGTTTTCTCCGGGTTTCCTCGTGCTTGGTGGTCAGCGCAGCTCATGCGGCGACCTGTTACCGGTTGGCTGTACAGGTCCAAAACCCGTCGCTCATCGCCATTGTCCATATGCTGCATCCTTGCTTGATGTGGCGGCATCCCCACGCGGGGTTTGGGAAGCCGCTTACCTCCGTGTTTGGCGGAGGAGGTGTCATATGCCTCCGGGGAGATCGTCCGCGCTGGCGCAGCGGGCCCCTCGTCCATGTCGTGGGACTCTATCAACGACGCATCTGCTCGGCGCACATCAGCGCATCTTAGACGTAATAACCGAAATGCTGTGATCCCCCAAATACCTACCTCTAGGCACCGCTGGAGGTTCGTCTGCGCCAGCGAAGCTCTCAGATTCACTGAGGTTCACCTCCTGTGCACATGTCGTCCGCCGGGGCCTTGGCGACATGCATAATGCGTGCCAACGGTAATACAACTATTCCTACCTCATCATGTGGTTGGTTCTGAACTACTGTTGACCTTGCCGTCCCCTGAAATTGCTCTCCATCTCCGAGCTCTCCCGAAAACTGCAGCCCCAGCACAAGCTGTCACAAAATGAACCAAGATATAAATAAAGCATAACATGCTCACCCCATCATCTTCGCGGTAGAAGGAGTCGTCCATTAGACCCTGACCAAGGAACTGCGGACTGTGCGTTCCAGGCCACAGGCACTACCCTCTACGGCTCTAGCAATAAGATAATATATTTAACAAGCTATTGGTGCATAACCGTCGCAAGGAAGCAGCTTCGGAAAGGATAGTTGCTTGCAAAGCTAGTTACTTAATTTGTCTCTTTCCATGGCATCTTACCACAAGTTGCTATAGGTGAAGATTAGCAAGCTTCAGTAACTTGATCGGTGTAGTAATCGTACTACAGAAATACGGCAAGCAGCCCTGCAAATTGCCAGGGCTGGAGAGGTTGAGACGTATCTATTAATGTGCCCAATGCCGTTATGTGCATAACGCGTGCCTCATAGACTGACAATGCTGCATTACTCCCGGCGGGTCACTTGCCTTCGCTGTTTCACCAATTTCCGCTGCTCTCCATTCCCACGCGCACCCCGTGCTTTCATGGAAGCGTAGAAGCACAGGAAGCACTGGCCAAGGTTGTTGTCATGAAGCCTCGCCATAATCCGAAACCAGTGCGCCCCGTTGGCAGGCTGTAACCACAACCCTCGATGACACGCACCCTGGTAAGAGGTCACATCCGTTGTAAATTTTGCTGCAGACTATATTCTCTGTATAGAACACTGATGGAATTTTGGTAGCCAATAACAGGGTGAGCTATACATCCCTTGGACTGTTGTGCGTCAAGCACCTGAGGAGGCGAACACTCTCATCACTTGCTTACAAAGAAGCACACCTGCAGCTACAGCAGCGAATGGCCATACCACGCTACGTGTATAAGGTTCCGCTCCGTGGCACATGCAAACACGCAAAGTATTTCACCATACCCGTTTATGCATGCACCAATAGGAAAGAGTACCCGACGTTGCCTGTTAGGGCCGCTTGGACGTGGCACTTTGGCCACGATAACTATGATTACACGACCAGAGAGTTGACAACCGGGTGGAGCAACCTGCACAAGTTGCAATGAAACGAGCAAGGAGACTCCTAGCTGGACATCCTATGCGGTAATGCAATGTCCTGTCCGCGCACATCGCCGCATTAAATTAAGCACGTCTTGCCAAGCCGTAAAAGCTGCTTCCATGTTCCACATTCATTCTGCTCCTACCAACAAAACCGTCATGAGGGTCGCCACAAGAGTCGGACGAACGGTGAAAAATTGGAGCCGCTCCGCATGTCTTTAACAGGTATGGTGGCTATGGAACTTGAATGGGGGTAACCGGCCAGCCCATCGTTTTGCCACACCGCAACAAGGCAGTGGCGGCAGCAACACGGTCCCGGCGGCCGGCGACCCTGTCAATAGCAGGCCACAGCTGGGAGGCGTCATGGCCAGGCTGATGACCCTGCCCCGGTGTCCGTGCACGTTGTAATCCAGGGCTCCCTAGCTACCAGGCATCTCCCTCACCTCTCCGGGCTCCTGCTGGAAACCCCATCGACAGCCTCCCCGGACCCATTGCTCTCCTCACTCATACTCATGCTTCTCTCGCCGGGTTCACTGGACGCGCCAAGGACTCGCCACGGTGCTGATGCAATAGTTGCTGGGTCTACTGGCTGCTGCTTGGCAGCGCTCTCGCTGCCCAGGACGCGCCAGGGTGGATTTGCAGTCACTGCTGACAACTGCGCATCCTGTGCAAGGCCCTGTTCCGATGCTTCTGTAGCTGCGGAACCCTGGACAACCGCCCGAGCTGCTGCAGCGGCTTGCGAGGGGGCAGCATACGCGCCCTGCACTGCAGGCGCCTCCGCAGCCCAATGGCCGTAGCCACCTGTCCCGCATGCTGTTTGCCAGCCTTGCCACGAGGACCACCCCGGGTCGACGTGCTGGGAATAGTAGGAGTGATGTGTCTGATACGCAGCCGCATCGTAGGATGCCCGACAAGCACCATAGTCTGGGTACGCTTGGTGCCAGCTGTGCGCCGGCTGGCCACCTGCATCCCATGCACCGTAGACTAATGGCGAGTGAGGGTAGGCCGTTGCTCCTGTGTACGGCTCTAGCTGCGCGGCGCTTGCCGGCTGCAGTACTCCAGGCCCAGTGGGCGCAACCATGGAGGCGGCAGCCGCCATGGAGGCGGCTGCCGCCTCCGGAGCTGGCCCACCGCCTATCTGTAGCGCAGCCGCTGCCTCGCTCTTGGGCTGTTGCGAAATTGCAGGACCGGCACAAGGCGCTGCAGACTGCGACGCTGTTGGATTGAAATATGCTGGCGCGTCGGGTGATGGCAGAGGCTCAGCCTGCATCTGCGCGGCCCCAGCTGCTGGCATAGGCGCGGCCTCCGAAGGAATGAGGATCACAGGCCGCATGCCCAGAGCCGCAACAGGCGCTGCAGTCGATGACGAAGCTTCTGCCGACTCGGCAGCAATCGTATGTCTTGCACCGCTGCTCTCGACAGGCAGGACCCTTTTCGTTAGCGGTGCTGTTGGTGCTGTAGTAGTCGCCTGAGGGCGTTCGCGGCCATCCACACCGCGTGTTGGCAGGGCAGCATCGAGACGCTTTGGCGAGCCCAAGCGAAACAGCACCAGGAAGGCACGGTTCGACAGGAAGAGCTGCCGCTGCGTGTCATGCAGCTTGCCAACGAGTGTCTGCAACGTGGTTCGGTGACAGGAATCCGCATGGCTGCTCGAAAGAACTCCGGGCAGAAGGGTAGCTACAAGGCAAGAAACAATACTAACAAGCGCAAAGTCCACATTAGATAGCGCCAGCAGCCTACTGCACCATGGAACCTTTGCGCTTTCACTGCGAAGCTGGCCCGCGCCTTTAGACGACTTTCCGGCCATCATGGCCACCGGGCCGCAGTACAGCTACACGACCTGGCGCCAAACGCTCATCCATAAAATTACCAACGATTGGCCCTTTGCTATCTGCACAGGGTTGAAAAGAGGCGTCAGATGTTTAGCGACACACGGCCCAATCCCCTTACCTCCTGTGCCCACGAGCTTTTGTAGGTGAAGATGTACACAGTCATCTCCTGACGGGCCAGGTAGCCGTGCTTGAACAAAACGGACGATTTACCGCAGGCGATGCCCTTCGACACCGAGTCCGCGTACCAGCCCTGCTTGTGTGCGAACTCGACCATGCTGTAATGCATCGCCAGCCAAGCCAAAGAAGAGAAGTGTGAGCAACGCAACCACGAAGGGGAGATACAGGCGGGGCAGCAGCTCCCACAGGCGCGGAAGAAGTGCGTGTGAAGTCAGGTGTCGGTGGGTCATCCAAGGCACCAAAGCTCTCAGACCATATGCACCCAGCCACGCACGGCCCCGCGGTGGTGCCTTCCCTTAGGACAAGTTCAGTCAAGCAGCCTAGCCCAGGGCAGCATCGATGTGCCACCCGCCTTGCCTTGTCGAAATTAGTTCAGGAGGGAGAATCGCTAAAAGAAGTTCGATAATGACGCAGGTCTTGCCTGGCAAGTTCTCCAGGGTTCTCAAAGCTCAGCACGCCCACCTCAGAAATAAGGTCCTTTAAGTCTGGTATTGGCTCAACCTGCAATGCAGACGACGGCAGCCCGTGAGAACACCATAAGACCGGGCACAGTTTTACTCTCCGTACAGCTCTTAACAATCACGCACCCAAGTCGAGGCGTAGCTGTGCCCCCAGCACGGACGCACAGCAGTGCGGGAATTTCTTCATACATGTGCAAGACGGCTCAACAGGCAGGAAGCGCGACGATGCCCCAAGGCTGGACAGCGATATGCATATGCCAGCAGGTGGCCCGCGTCAAAAATAGCGTCAGATCAAACCAACATGCGCTTGGATAAGCATTTGGCTGCAAGACAAGAGCAACAAGCAGACGTGGTCAAATGGCATGGATTGCGGTGGGCTGCCAAGATGACCCTGACGACACTGAAATACCCACCACAGGGAACACCATGGGAATCCAGGTGTTTTTCAGGTCAGAGATGGATGACGCGGAGGAACCGGAGGTTCGCATGGGCTCAGCCCAGATGCTGCCGGAAAATATTTCCTTCTTGACCTCTCCATTCTGTCCAAGCACAATGGTTCCCTCCCACTGCAGGAGAAATACGCATGGAGCAGTCAGTCAGGGCCACAAGCTGTGTAAGCAGAAGCAGAGCCGGGCAAGCAGCAGAGCAGACGTAGGAAGGGCCGCACAAAATGCACAAGAAACCGCGCCGAACGCGTCTCCCTGCGGCATCGACGCACCTTCACGGAACGTCCTCGCAGCTTCGGCATCGACTGCTGGGGGAGTTGCTGCGAATTGGCGTGCTGCCCCTGCACAAACTGCTGCTGCCGGCTCTTGTAACAGCCCTGATGCTGCAACTCCTCTGCTTGAGCGGGCAACCCCTGCAGCTGTGCGCCGAGATGCAGATCCTTGCTCGAGTCCTGCTTTACAGCTGGCCGCCCCTGCCGTTCGGGATTCTGAACCGGCTTCTGCCGGGACTGTCCCTGCACCACTGCAGCGTAATGGCGCGCCACCTCGATTTGGTCGGGCACAGCCTGTTCTTCCGCCCGCAGCTGCGCCTCTAATTCCTGGAAAATAGGGGGACGGGACGAATACGCCTCGACGCAATTCCATGCGCCCATGAGCCCCAAGCTGCTCAAAGTCTCGTGACGCTGTTCTAAACATTGTAAATCCTGCGCGGGAGCGGCCAGACCTGGGCCCCGGCTCGGAGCATGTCCTACAGAACCTTTGCATTTATGTCGCGCTGCGTCAGTGGGTACGCACCGTCTGGGCACATTTCAAGGCGAGGATGCACGGAAGTTGGCCTGCCGTGCATTGCTTTCGCCAACGCGACACCGAATCCCGAATGCTTCAGCCTTCAAGCCTGCAGCCTACCAAGGGTTCTCACCTGGCAGCGGTGCTCAAGTTGGTCCGCCTGCTCTTGCGCCGTGTCGCCCAATTTGCTCCAGTCCTCAACTCCATCGGTACCCACCGCGCCATGCTCACACAGCAGCTGCAGCAGCTCGGCATGCGCTTGTAAGAACTGGAGCTGCAGTGCAGGAGAGTGAAAAAGCGCAGGAGGATTTACACGCATGGCGTCAGGATGCCGCCGCAGCTGCCGTGTTTTGCACAACGGAAGATAGCAGCGCGCCTAATCTTTGGCCTTTCAGTCTCATAACAAATCCTTAAGCCTGCAATCGCAACATGCCGCCTGTATGCTGTGCATTGGCAGTCAGCATAATGCTGCATACGCCGCAACCTTTCCGGAGCTGAACCCTCTTTGCATTCCCAGCCGCTGCTGCTGCCAACGCCACCGACCTGCAGCTGGGTGGGCCGGGGAGGCAAGCCCTCCTGAACCGCATGAGCCCCGTTTTCGCCAGGCGTGCAGGAGCGCTTGGCAGCCCGCAGGCTGTCGTGGCTATCAGTCGTGGGCCCCTGCCCTTCCCTGGACCGTCGTGGCGCTGCTCCTATCGGACAAGGGTCCTGCCGCCGCGGATCCTGGGGCAGCGGTTGCGGTGCTGCCGGCCCACAGCCTGCCGCCGCGCACCGGAGCTTTGCGGCTTCTTCTTCTGCCTCTTTGCGCGGTTCCTGGAGGGCAGCGCGCAGCTCGTCAACCAGGCATTGCACTCGGCGCCGCACCTCCTCCATGGTATTCTCGTCAAAGCCTATTGCGTTCATAGCCTCGATGTGCCGTGTGTGCTCGGCCTCTAGTCGGTCCTTCCGCGCCCAGATGGCGTCCTTCTCGGACTGACTGGGTGGCCGATAGTGGCCATCGACGTTGATGAGCTGCAAATCTCGATTGGCTTCACCGATCTTCTCGTACACGTCTGCTGCCCGCTGCGCAAGCTCCACACACCTTTCGTGCTTGTGTCGCAATTCCTGCAGCTCGTGCAAACGCCGGAGCAGCTTTTTCCGAATGCGCGTTGCCTTTGGGATGATCGGGAACAGGTACTGGTCTCCCCGCAGCTCCGTAATGGCGATGACATAGATGACATCACTGCGTTGGGCGAAGACGTTTCCCCGTGTCAGCAGGGCCGTGGTAATGGGCGTCAGCGTTAGAATGAGGGTAAATTTCTGTTACCAACTCCCAGCCAATGGGAAACTCCCAGCCAATGGGAAAAGGTATGGGGCGGCAACTTAAGCGTGGAGCCTCCAAGCCATTCCCCAAGGCCCACCGTACGCTTGCGGTGCTGCACACGTGCCAGGCAGCGTACCCGTCGCCGAGGGTCCTGGTGGGTTCCTTGCGGGCCCGCTCCTGAAACGACGGGTGTGTGGGCCATATGTCGTTCAGCGCCAACCAGGAGCCCTTAACCGAACCGTTGCGTTCATGCAGCCGTATCTCCACCTGCTGTTGGGGTGGGACGCAACAGTAGCATGAAGTGGAAAGACCAACTGCGATGATCACGTCGCCATCCAAACGCAAGCATGTCATGAACCAAATGTGCCACACCATAAGTGTGCCGGTCGTGTATCTGAGCATGGGACAAGGGGTTGTTCCCGCTACACGCGCACTTCGGTCATATAGCATCCAGGGTCTCACCAGCTGGCCATCCTCACCCGCTGGCTGCACTGTGTGTATGGGGACAAGAATGAAAGCATTCATGTCCTTGTTAAATGCCTTGACAAGGAACCCGCGGAAGAACGACCCGAGGTTCTGCAAACAAGATGGCGGCCAACCGATAGCGAAGTGGTAAAGGATATGTCTATTCAGAGAACGTTCCAGCGAGCAAGCCTCATTGCTGCTTTTGAGATCAAATAAACAAGAGGTTGCCTTGGTTGACAGCTTTTACACCAGCGAGCATTAGAACGTCTCTTTGGTATTACAATGGGCAGTATGTCGTTTGTCACTTAAGGTGCTGGCTGTGACAGACATCCACCACAGCCCGACCTCGTCCGCTCCATTGAAAATGGTTGTCATAACGATGGCCATTTCCTCCTCCAGCACACTGCTTTCGATTAATTTATAGTATTCGCATAGTTGCTGCTGTGTTAGGAACAAAGGTCCTAACTCGCCAAGTTGTCGTTGATAGCGATTTTTCGCCATGCCTACTGCTCAGCCGGGGCTAGTTCCGGAAAAGAGCCTTTGCGACATTGCATTTTGACTGGATAACTTCTCATGCCCGCCCCCAGACTCCTTCTCGGTGAGCTGCCGTACATGCGGTGCATGAAATGTGAGGAAAGATTACGTTTAGGGGATTACGTTCATTAGCGCCTATTGCTGCATGGCAACCAGAGTCATAGCACAATTGCTTGCTATCAGAGGTCGGCAAACCCTGAATAACTGTCACGGGTACTGGTGCCAGGGTCGAATAACTGTATGGAAATTTTTTTTGGTAAAAGCCGAGGAAAGAGCGTCTGCGGGCCGATGTACCAAACTTACTACGTTACACCATCGCTGTTAAAGCCACAGTTGTCTTGTTGCGCCCAATTACTGCGCAAACCTGCCTTTTGGGGGGAATTTCTGCACCCTGCCGTATGGCTGCCGTACCAGCGATGATGATTTTCTGCAACGGGTACATCGGACCCGCTGTACCAGCGGCGTTTGCCGACCCCTGCTTGCTATAGGTCGTGCCGTACTCATACAGGATTAGGAGCAGGACAGCAGAGCAATTTTTTGACATTCGTGTGGTAATCACTATGGCTGAAGAACATTATAAAATGTTCCTGCCTCCACTCCAACCCAGGCTCCTCCCGAGAAGTTGCTTAGGAGGCCGCAACAACTTCTATCGTACGGTGTCCCTTCGGATCACCCAAACGGTTGTTCCAACGCAAGTGTCATTCCGAGATGGTCATTCCGAGACATTCGTAGGCTGTTCATAGATCAGTCTTAATCAAGTCATGTCTTAATCGATTTGCGATTTACCTCTGAAACGCTATAACGCGTTACAACACACCGGCTTCATCTCTAATTACCGACAGCAATGGTGCTTTTCTCCGGATATATTCCCCGGCTGGAAGCTTCACCCCAACAAGAAGGACCAGGGGCGCAATGTTTGCCACGCACGCGTGAAGCATGTCAAAGCTCTGCAGACTGCAGCTTGCCCCCTTCCGATTGGTGCAGTCACCGTGCCCAGCACCGCTCCCGTAGCGCTGGCCCTGGGCATGAGACCTGTCACTGCTGACTCCAAGTTTTACAAGTGTCACTGCTCATTCCACTGGCGTCAACGCGCACGTCACAGCCCGGCACGCACTTATGCCACTTAATCACGATGAAGCCAGTCATGCAGTGCAGCCCATCCCAGAGGATGCCATGCACAGGGCCGTGTAGAAAGCTTGTGCCGCTCTCCCATGGAGCTGCCACTGCTGCAGGGCCTGTGTATCGTGACCCCCTCCATCGTCCCCGCCTTCATGTTCAGCTTCACTTCCTCCACAGCCGGTGCCACTGCCCTCGCCTGACCCCGGGCCTTCACTGGTTGACACAACCCCGGAGTTTCATGAGCAGGCCGCTGAAGTCCCGGCTCGTCAGAAGTATCAATATCTGTCAGTGGACCTCAGCTTTGAGGCCTCTGGTGACTGCAGGTTTGTGGAGGCTGGCCTTCAGACCGAGTCATTGAACAATGCCTTCAGCGGGACACCAGGGTCCCGTGGAGATCCTGTCTTGTTGGCTTGCTGGACTGGGTGCAATCAGGGACTTGCGTCTTAAACGCCTATCCGAGAAGTTTCTCGCGGGATGATGTCTTTTGGGAGCATGTCAGCAAGATCCTAGCCGAGGTGACTGATCCTAGCCGAGGTGGAGATTTACCCCGTCCTCACTCCGGCATTTCTGGGAGGTCACCTGCAAGGAGGGCTTATACATGGTCACCAATAGGCAGGAGCGCCACAACGCTGCAGCTGCCAGTGTCAACGCATTTGGAGCATGTGACTGTGCGGCCCAGCTGCATGTCTTGCTGGACGGAAAGGTAAGAACCATGTTGGGTCGTGGGTACGTTCATACTCAGTTGCTTTACAGCAGGGTGGTCACGAGTTTGGCCCAGGTGAGGATGTGTAGTGTACCTTGGGTTTCCTGTTTGATCATTTTGGAAGTTGCATGATGTTTGCAATTGAGTTCTAGTAGTTAAATCCTATGGCCTCCCATTGTTCGTCCATGCTTGCAATGTAGGGAAAGATATGTGTGGACGTGGAGTTCTTGTGTCTTGTGATGGCGACCCTCTCAGTGCTAGCCGTGGGCCATGGGGGATTCGATTGGCTGCCCGACTCATCATGGCTGGCCGTCATCCTGTCGGAGTTGTCCCAGAAGGACATGCTCTTGAGGTCCAGAGAGCTGGGCAGACCGGGAGCAGCATTTCCTTTGTGTGGCGCGATGGGCCACACCATGCAAACCAGACACGTCTGGTGGTGCACATGGACCTGTCCGTGCACCTGTATGTGTACGGCCAGGAGATACCCCTGCCCTATGATGCTCCTGTGCTGGGGTATATTTCCTGCAAGGAGGATCTCCTGGTTCTGCTGTGGAACGTCAGCGACATGCAGTTATGCTATGGCTCGGGGTTCAGACGCTCTGCGTGTGAATCATCGTGCATGTAGGTCGCTGGGTGGGCGGTATGTAGCTTGCAGTGTTCGTTAAAAAAGCCAGCATAACACCTGTCGATCCAGTCTTGGAGCTCATGTGTGATGGTTCCATCGATGGTACCTGCCGGCTTTGCCTCAATGGTCCGGGTTCCGGGATCCGGGTTCCGGGTTCCGGGATCCGGGGTCCGGGGTCCGGGGTGACCACTTGATGTGGTTGAGCGGCACCTGCATGCCCGCCTCCGGGAGCCTTGGAGGCCTGTCGACTTTTGCAGACTGGATAAATGTGTGCCGTTACATTTGAGGATTCCATTTGGCCGATGCGATGTGGCCGAAGGCTCCCCAGAGCGTCAGCTGGGCTGCAACCGGAAACTAACGACATCGGCAGTTGAACTCCATCATGTCAAAGAATGGGGCTTCATGGCCATTACAAATTGGATAGAGAACATCATAATATAGTAAGATCAATTCCCGAGAGACAGAAAGGAGAAAACGCCCACCGCAACCGACAAGTGACCCAGCTCTTGCAGCATATCAGGTTGTCTACAGCACAGCACTGCGTTATACCCTAACACATTTGATCAGTTACGAGGTCAGGCCATTCTACCCTGCAAAAAGCGCTGCCTGTGGATGTCACCTAGAGCGGAGTTTTCACCACACACAAACGAATCACAATTTTGATGAGGCCAGATTTCCTCTCGTTGCTGTACATACTGGTTCAAAGGAATGGCTACTTGTTCGATGATTTGCGAGAAAAATAATGGGGGCGTAAGGCCCCGTGATGAATAATCAAGCAGGATTTCAGCTCGAGATCATAAAAACAGTTGCATCATTCAATTATTAACAGATCTACCTAACAGTATCAATTTCTGAAGCAGGGCCATGCTAACCTTCAAAGAAATGCTTGCAAACAAAGCTCCCAGGGCGCTCACTGCACAGCGCGGACCGAAATCCCTGGCAATGGGCGGTTCTGTAAAACGTGTGCCAATTGGGTTTCAAGGCCGTTCCCGGGTTTCCGTCTGCAGTACGGGAGGTGAGGCTTGCTAAGTGGCACATCCTTTCATGTTCATGTTTACGCTGTATGAGCAAGGCGGTATCGATAAGTAGCGGCTACCGAATTAACAGTATTTTCACGGGTACCTTGTCCCCGGCTGCGGGTGCGATGCAAGGGAAGCGTGTGTGCGCAAAAAAAACCTTTAACATAGGGCACAGGTTTCGGAGATGAACAGGATGTGTGGAAGAAGAGTGCATTTTTCAGGTGTGAGCTATACAGCCTCTGTCGTACACATTCATACCACCGCATAGGACTGCCCGCTTGGGCCGCATTGTCTTACATACATTAGCATAATAACCTGCCGCAGGCGCTAAACCAGAGCTTAAGATTAATATCGAAGGAATGATGTGCGATGGCTGCAGCTCACGTATTGAGACGGTGTTGAAGGTGGGCTCTTTCGCGAGCTTCTCTGACCGTGCAAGCCTGCCCTCTTTCCTTAACGTGCGCCATATAGTCGACGTAGAAATACAGTGTGAAGGACGAAGCCCGGCCCTAGGCATGCCCGGCGTGAATGCTTAAATGCCTCAATCGCCCATTCGCCACGGCGATGCAGCACCGTCACCTCTGCAAGCAGATGCGTGAGGCATCCACCTCGCGCATATCTGGGCACAGCACGAGCTTAATGTCGCGTGGATATGGTTCCACATCCGCTTGGGTTCTCGAGCCGCATTTGGCCTCCCTGCGGTTGCTTCGGTTCCCCACAGGGCATGGAGGCTGTCAAGACTGTAAATGTTTCACTCGAGGGCAAGGTAAGGTGATGGGGATGGAGATGGAAACGGTCATGCATGCAGAGTCGGTGATGCTCGGGACCGCTAACTTTATCACTCCTCGCTGCGATCTGTGTGTGGGATTCAGTACTGACTTCCCTGGTCGGAAGCCAAAATGCTGGGTGGCCATCTGAACCTGATTACTGGCACTACAATGACCGCGAACCCAATGCCGTCGTTACTTACGTGCTCCCTGGTGGTGCTGCAACAGGTGGCTGTGGTTCAGCTTGCCAAGGGAGCCACAGACAGCACAGAAGCGCAGGCTGCTGCTGCTGCACTTGTCGATACGATCAACAGCTTGGGCTTCGAAGCTAAGCTACAGCAGTAGGAGGCTCGATGAAGGGACGTGGTAGAGCGGGCCACTTTATCCAGCAAGCGCACCCACAGCTTTGTACCTGACCTGCACCTGCGGCCGCATCTTGTCGCGGAGAGCTGACATGTCTGAGCAAGCCTTGCGCTTGGAGCCTGGTGCCTCTGTTATCGCCTGTGCAGCACACATTTACAAGGAGATTGTTATACTGTGGCAGTGATAACGAAGTGCCGCAAGGCGGCTTCTGATTGCAAGCTTTAGGCATTAAGCATCCAACAGGGCTGCCAGGGCCCGAGTGAAGGTGGTAATCGGCAAGGGTGCCTGTAACTTAGCTCCCTCCCAATTGAGTGGCACTTGACCAGAGATCTCGCCGTCTTGTTTCCTGGACATTCACTAGTGATTGATCAGGCGTTTACTGCTGGTGTGATGTGGGTGCCCTCGTGCCGTAGGCCCCACAAAGACTGGTGCCTGGTGCTTTCCATAGCGTCGGATGACACATTTGATGATCCATGCTGACAAAAGTGTCCGTCTCCGTGTTTTGTGGATGATCATGGGTGGCAAGGCAGTGCATGTAAGAGCGGACACTGTAGTCTCTGGAGGGTCTGTTCGATTCTGGCTCGCTTAGCATAATCCTCCTGGCCTGCCTGGTCTTTAGGAAGTCACAATCCTAGCACAATTTATACTAAGTTTTGTCAAGGCCATGACTGTCCTCAAAACAGTTATGTGTACATGACGGACCATCGAAGCCCGCCAAGCTGACATCGGTTATCGTAGCGACGCATTGGTTTATTAGTGAACCGATAAACCGGAAGCGCGTAAACTCTACGGCGTGGTATGTATGGCACGCGCTTGTACCTATTTGCACGTGCAGGGACGGTTGGGACCACGCCGGAGCCACAGGCCTGGTAGCCATACAGCTGCTGTGCTTGAATGCATCTAGGCATGAACAGCTAACACCTTGAATAAGTTGGACATAGTTTACTTTATGTCGCAACGCTCGACGGGAGTGATGTCGGGGGGTCGACCGAGATACGATGGTCGTTGAACCGAACAGAATCAAAAGTAACACACGTTGCACGCAGCTTTCGATTGTCCGCTAAATAGTAAACAGAGCTCAGCCTAGGTGAAATAATCTTTCATACTCCCTGACAACAGTGCGTATTCCTCAGATTCTCCCATCCGCGCCCTTCGTATACTACTACGCCGAATGCTTGTTTCATTTTCTGCGAGTTAAACCTTGGATTAATCCGCAATCAAACCAACAGGCAACCTACGTATTGTTACCGGGAAATGAGAAACAGTATGCCTTTCATCGCGCCATCATCTTGATTTCCAATTATTACTTTCTGCTGTTATGTCTAGCGCAACAGCGCACCTTGTACCTATTTCAGCCCACGTGTCGTCATCAGTCTGCGTCGCTACCCAAGCGTGCTTTCCGCCCATTAACTTTATCTATGGCCACTTCCACAATTCTATTCGGGCCGAACTCCATCTCCTGGCGGATAGGGTTCGGTCCTTGGAGGTCCCGGCTGAAGGCGTGGAGTTAATGCTCAGCGACCTGCGCGAGCGCTACAAGTTTCTTGAGCAAGTTTATAAGTATCATAGCACAGTGGAGGATGAGGTATGATGCATATCCACCTGGGCGGCGAGGGGCTACCCTGAGCTTTGCGCGGGCTCTGTGCAGGTGTTATACCCAGCGCTGGATGCCAAGGTCCGGAATGTCACCCTGGCTTACAGCATTGAACACCAGGATGAGGTGCGTTAATTTAACGTGCAGTATGGTTGAGCAAATTAGAGGATAATCTTTTTCGCCCGTGAGTCCAGGAGATTCTCTTTGAGCAGCTAAGTCAGCTGCTAACAACCGCTCTTGAGGAGTCCGAGAGCAAACGGAAGGGAACAATAAGGTAGGTCTTTGATCGCTGGAGGTAGGACACCACGCCGCGAGGTACCTCGGGTCTTAAACGCAGCAACCTGCAGGGCGCTGATCTGCAAGGTCGAAGAGATCCACACGACGCTCAGGAAGCACTTGGCAAAGGAGGAGGAGCAGCTATTGCCGCTTTTGCTGCAGCACTTCTCGTTTGCTGAACAGGCAGAGTTGGTCGCACAATTTCTCTACAGCATTCCCCTCGAGACTGTGGAGCGAGTATTGTCACAGCTGAAGCCCCGCATCCCTAGGGTGAGTTAGGGTGAACAACCCCCTCCCGGCTCCCATGTTGTACCCTCTCCTGCCGCGACCTGTACCCGAAACCATCATAGTGCTGTACCATGGCACATCCCTTTGCCCCGCAGGACGAGCAAGAGCACCTTCTAGTCGAAATCAGGAACGTTATACCCGACAACCTACTTTCCCAGCTTCTGATGACTTGGCTGCGGCCTGCGGCGGAAATGAACCTGCCGCATACGAACGTTAGCAGACAGGAACGGCCTGCAGACTTCGTTTGCTGTGGCAATCGGAGCGCTTGCATGTACATGTCCTCCTCTCGCGCCCTTCCAGCCGCCATGATGCCTGACAGGTCCCACGGCGGGGCGATGGCACAAGTGCAGGCAGCCCAGCAGCTAGGAGATTCACAGGCGTATGCAGCGGACCGCACCGGTGTCAGCTCCGGCGCCATCTGCAGTGACCGTGCTACAAATACATCTCACCCAGCGAGCAGCAGCAGCAGCAGCGGTGCCGCACGTCGCGCACCTCTGCAAGATATTATACATTTTCACCGCATCATCTGTTCTTCGCTCGCTGATTTCGCCCGGGAGGCACGTGCATTGCAGCTAGGACGGGACGTCACGGCCGCGCACCTGTCGGCACTGCTGGAGCGCCACCGCTTCCTGCGCTCCGTGTACGTGTTTCATTCCATCAGCGAGGAAGAGGTGCTGTTTCCAGAGGTGCAGCGCCTGGCGGCAAATGTGGGCGGCCGGGCAGCGCATCAGTGCGAGAAGGACCACCAGGCGGAGCTGTCCAGCTTTGAGGATCTGGGACGCATGCTGGCGGACGTGCGCTCCTTCGCCAGGCGCGGCCGCAAGGTGAAATGTTGCGGCCGGATGGGGACCGAGTGAAAAGGGAGTTGATGCTAGAGCCGGGAAGGCGTCTGCGGCGGCGGGGCTTGCCATATCGTTGGCTGTGTGTTGGGGCTTTGGTGGCATCAGGAGTCACTTGGCGATGTGCGTCGGCGCTGTGCCACTCAGTGGCAACGGCAGCTCAGCAGTGGGCAGCCAGAGAACGTTGGGATCCAATTGACTGCAATGGAAAAGGAGCTCGAGGTTCTCAGTCGCGTGCTCCCATGGGCCCAGCACAGGCTTTCCAGCCTAGGGCGCTCGATAATTCGTGCCGCATATACAACAACCCAAATCGTGAAGCCCTGTCGAAGACTTAGCGCATGGAAGTCTCTCTGTATGGACCGTGCCCCTGAAGTCGCCGTCTGTCCTCAGGTTAGAATTATTGCTGGAAACGGGCTCAAGGAGTTCGGTACCCCCGCCGTAACCGAACTGGTACCCAATAGGTAGACACCAACACAGCCTTCAGGTGTACGCGGAGGGCGGTATGAGATCCTACATAGGCACCTCCTTGTGGAGGCTATATTCATCCTGCTGCTACGACCCTCCCGACCCTCTTAGGAGGTTGCCTCTATGCTGGAGAAGCTGTGCTGTAGCGCGGAGGCTGTCCACGCGTCCATTCAGCATCACATGCAGCGCGAGGAGACGGATGTGTTTCCGCTGCTTGAGATGCACCTGTGCGAGGCGCAGCAGAGGATGCTGGTGTACCGCACCATCCGTGCAATGCCGCTGCGGCTGCTGGAGAGGGTGATGCCCTGGGTCGTGAGTGAGTGAGGGAAAACCCCAGACGGGGTCTGGGCCCTGCAAGAGTGGAAGGCGGTAGTCAACCTTCCTTAGGAAATGGATGGTGATAAAAAAGGTTGTACGTACCCGATCAGGGATGAGGATTGGCATCATCAACGTGGGATACCGGACGCGTAACGAATCAAGGACAAACTGGCTGAAGTCTTGTGATGCTGTCCTTACGGTGCATTGGTGTATGGCAGCATGAAGTAAACCTAAGCTATGTTTAGCTACGGGGCCAAAGTAATATTGCTGGCAATGCGATAAGAATGCAATCCATGACTTTCCTAGCTGCTTTTTGGTGGGGGGATCTCGATGATCCCTTTTGGCGCTGTTGTGTCAGGCGGCCTGGACGACGTCGCTGCGGCTTCGCTGCTTTCCAACATCCGGCTGGGGGCCCCCCCCGGTGACTTGCCCTTGGTGGAGCTGCTGTCGCGCTGGGCGCGACGCGGCCGGCCAAGCACGGTACCGCTGGGGGCCCCGGAGACAGGGCCACGCGCATGTATTGGCCCACTGGCGGCTCCAGGGGAAAAGAGGACAGCGGGTGTCTCGATGGCCGAGGCCCCGGGGGCTGGAGATAGCGGAGGAGTTCTTCATACTTCAGAAGCCGCTGGTGCGTGAATTTCAGCTGGGAACGGAGCAGAAATGATGATGCTGTGGCGTATTGAGCTTGGGGTCGGGCCTGCGTCGCTTGTGCCGCGTTGTGAAACCATAGGAAATTGAGGGACACGTGAGGTTGCTGGAATGGCGGGCATGCGTGACTGTCGCTGGAACAGCCTGCTGTGCGGGCGCCGCATGTTGTGTAGGCAGGCAGCACTGTGAGAGCCGTTTGTCCCCACTTCCTGAATTTCAGGCCACATGCGATTTGCAGGTCATGCAAACACTTGGGGTTAGCTTCTGTCGTGCTATTCTCTGTTTCTCTGTTGCCGTGCTGTTCTCTCTTTGAAGATTATGTCTGCGCAAGGTTGATCCAGAGTGTAACCTCGTCATTTTGGTCATTCTTTCCCTATGCCAGCTGCAGGTGCCGGTAGGGACCCACAGCAATGCATGGATGTCTACAAACCCGTCTTCTGCCGGGACTCGTTTCCGGGGGCCTCCTCCTGCCGCTCCCTGGTCACTGCCATGGATGAGGACGGGGCTGCGAGCAAACGGCAGAGGCTGTCGAATGACCACGTTCTCGCGCAGGGCCCGGGTGCGCAGGATGGGGATCCGCGGTTTGGCGTAGCTGCTGGTGCTGGGGCGTGCGGCATGGAATGCGATTCGTACGGGACGTACGGCCTTGCCGAGATGGAGCTGAGCACTGCACCACGGGCGCTGTTGCGGAATCAAAGGCGCGAATCCCAGGACGGACCGACAGTTGGCGCCACACCCCCTTCTGGTGCGTGTTGTGTGTCCAAGCAGCGTAAATTGGACGTGCATGGGACAGGCGGGAGACTAGGGAGTGTTTACATCTGCAAAATCTGCAAATAGAATGACATCTCAGGCCCTCGCACAAAGTGGGCAGACACAGCATGGTTAGGCGGTGTTGGAGAGAGCAAATGTTGTTGTCATGCCTTCTGGCCATCAGTTCAATCCGATTCCATTTGTGAAGGGAACGGGCCATGATCTTTAACCCGTCGGCATTTGGTCATGCACGGTCCCCAGGGTCTGCCTGGATGCACCAGGATGGTCAGGTCGCCGGAGGTCAATGCGATTGCGCCTGCGACGACGGGGCGGGCCGCGGCGGGAGTGGAGGCGGCTACAACCCGATTGATCACATATTCCAGTTCCATAAGGCCCTTCGCCAGGAGCTGAAGCAGATGGAAGCTGATGCGATGCGCCTCGAGCACTTGGTGCTGGCGTGGGTGCGGCAACAGCAGCAACAGCAGCTCCAAACTCCGCCAGTGCTTGCACTCTCGGGACCTGGGTCAACGTCAGCTGAGGATGGTGCAGCCGTGCCTCGCCCAGCTGCGTCGGATGCTGCCGGTGCGTGTGTGCAGCAGCAACAGCAGCAGGGGCTGGCGGAGCAAGGGGCGCTGACTTTGATGCGGCGCACCCCAACGCCAGTCCCTCTGGAACCCGGGGTCACAGGGCTGGCGGACTTCGGTGGTGGCGTGGCGGCTGTGGCTCGCGGTCGCCTGCTGCCGGTGCTGCAGAACTTCCACGGGCGCTTTCAATTCCTGCAGGTATGTACGTGTGGAGAGTTGCAGGAGCAAGCTAAGGCGGAAAGCTGCGGTTGGCATCTATGTGTCACCTGAGTAGTGTGGGTATAACTTGGTCCCGGTCTCCGAGCTCTGGGCCCAGTGGCTCGCAGTTATGAAATTCGTTTATTCCCCGTGGATGGGCACCTATTACTTTGTGGGATGGGTGTATGGAAAGGAGCCTCCATCTGAGGCTGGCTACCCTGCGGCCCATCCATACCTTGCGCCTCCAACCCCGTTGCTTGTCGGGCTGTCAGGGCATCTACCGGGCCCACAGCAAGTCCGAGGACGAGATCGTGTTCCCCGCGCTGGAGGCCAAACAGGCTTTGCGCAATGTCAGCCACGCCTACACGCTAGATCACAGGCAGGAGGAGCAGCTGTTTGCAGACCTGGAGGCGGTGAGGGAAGGGGCCACCTAGGGGCTGGTACGGGGCTGGGTACGGGGATGTAACCCGGTGGGAACTGCTGGCCGTGCCAATGGATTGCGCGGGGTGCTGCATGCACAAACGCATCATGCCCGACCATCGTGAGGGTTGCCGTGCGCCAAGATTTGACCCGGCTTGGACAATGTAAAGCGCAATCTTCGCTGTCCTCGTTCACTCGTGATAAGCTCTTTCCTCCCCTCTGCCAACAGCCCAAGTCTCCCTGACGCCATGCCGCCCGACAAATCTCCCACTTCAACCAACATTGCCTTCTACCACTCCAATGGCCCCTCCTCACGCCGTCAGGCCATTGACCAGTTCCGCGCGGTGGACCTGCTGAAGCCCGGCCACGAGGAGGAGCTGTCCCGGCAAGTGATGGGCGTACGGCGCATGTGTGCCGCCATCCGGGCCTCCCTGGAGACCCACATCAGGTCGGAGGAGAGTGAGCTGTGGCCACTTTTCACGGAACATTTTAGCCGCGAGGAGCAGCAGTACCTGGTCGGGGTCATCATTGGCCGCACGGGCGCGCAGGTGCTGCAGGCGCTGCTGCCCTGGGTGTCAGGTGGGTCCGTGTGTGGACTGCTGCTGAGAGCGGACACGACCTTAGGTTCAGCCAGGTTGGAAGGGATTGAGGCATAGGTTAATGGCTGGATCGGTTAGGTGCCTGGCGGGCTTTGGAGATATCCACTCGTCTCCTACGTCCACACCCTGCTCGTCGCCTCCTTGCCTTTTGTTATTGTCCGCCGCAGAGACGTTCAGCGAGGAGGAGCGCGATGCGATGATGGACTCTCTGCGCGCAGCTACCCGCAACACCATGTTCGACCAGTGGCTGGAGGCGGTACAGGGGGGCGCGGGGGCGGGTGCCAGCTCAGGCTCCACGGGAAGCAGTGTGGACAGCGGCGCCCCCAGCAGGGCCAGCTCTATCGGGATGGGCGACATGGGCGCCACGCACACGAGCCAGCAGCCGCTGCAGGAGGTGGCGGAGTACCTCGCAGGTGGGCGCAGCGGGCCACGGGAGCTTGCACCTTAGTAGCGCGGTCGGGTGGCGGTAGATGGTGGTCGTGGAAGTCAGGTAGTCCAAATGCAGCCTAAGCTGCTTGTTACTGAGGTGGCCATATATGGCGGAGTTACATTGTAAAGCGTGCAGTTATCTGCGATTTGGACATCACTCTCGCTGGCTCTGTACGACGGTTACTGGGGGGAACTGCGCGGAGCCGCCTCACTGGTACTCAGGGGGTATGCTAACAAGTAATGGCGACGCACTATTGGCCTTTGTTCAGCAGGCGCCCAAGCCGGGGCTGCAGACGGGTCGAGCGCAGGGGGCCCCTCCAACGCGCCCTCTGCCGGGACAAGCAGCCACGGCCAGGGAGCTGTGGCGGACAACACGTCTTTCCGCCCTGGCTGGGAGGACATCTTCCGGATGAACCAGCAGCAGCTCGAGGCGGCTATCCACAGGTGTGGGTGCGATGTGTGCGCTGCGTGAAGCAGTAACAGAGGTCACTTATCGCGCAAAAGCTCTATAGGGATAGGGGAAGCCTGAGAAACGGTGTCATTTCCTGCCCCGCTGTGCATAGGAAACGTGGGTTGGGGCTCCTGCGTGCACCATGAGGCCGCAATGCGTTTTTGCAACGCCGTTCATGGCATCCTGATCACCGCCCGTGTAACGGTGCTCCTTTGTCGGTGATGTGCAGGGTGTCCAATGACCCGTCCCTGGAGCCCGAGCGCAAGGCATACCTCATGCAAAACATCATGGTGTCAAAGTACATCGTTGCACAGCAGCGCAGGATGGGTCTCTCCGATGCAGCCACGGAACGACAGCAGCAGCAGAGCCCTGTCTGGGCACCCGGGCGCATCACCACCACGGGTGGTGCGGCAACGGCGACTTGCACAGGTGGGAATTTGTGTATGGCCAGCTATTGAAAAGGGTGATGGATGGGGACTGGGCTAGGGAACGGGATTGTAGGCCTTTGCTTGGAGAGAAGCTTGCGGCTCCGGTGACCCGCAATGCGTTTTTTTGGGTTCCAGACAGAATAGCAATATGAATTACAGGCTATGCACCAGAGGCCATATTCCCCGTACCCCTCCTCATATGGTTCTGCCTGCCATGGACAGATGACGTGCAAGGTTCCACTACGCCAGTGGTCACAGCAAAATGTCCGGCTGTGGACGCCATTATCCACCGCACGTGTCACGATGCTGCGGCCGGCATCCTGGGCTGCCAGCACTACCAGCGAAAATGCCAGCTTGTCGCGCCCTGCTGCGGGAAGATCTTCACTTGCCGGTACGTTGAGAGTGAGTGCTAATGGTTGTGCTGCAATGCCGCAGATGACATTGCACGCACCCCGCGTCCACAGGTTGTGCCATGATGCGGCGTCCGACCATCGAATGGACCGCTATGCCGTCACCGAGATGCGCTGCATGATGTGCGGCACACGGCAGCCGGTTGGGGCCGTCTGCCGCTGCTGTAGCACAACAATGGCGCGTTACGTGTGCAACATTTGCCACCTTTTTGATGACGAGCCGGGCAAGGATATCTACCACTGCCCCTTCTGTAACGTCTGCCGGTACGTTCCTGGTACACACTTGGGATTTTGGGGGCCTTTGCCTGCTGGGAACTGCACTGGTAGCTGGGTTCCTGTGGCGGCAATGTGTACGGGTTATGGAAGCGCCCAACCGCCCCCCGCGCGTTCGCATGCCGCACTGCTTTTGCTGTCGTGGGGCGTGCCTTGAGTGTTTCAGTGCCAAGGGACTGTCTCGAGCGCTTGGTGATGTGCTTGTCATGCGCATTTCTATGGGTGCTTTCCACAATGCGCGCTTTGCGCTGCACGCAGGCGCGGGCGCGGGCTTGGCGTGGACTTCTTTCACTGCATGAACTGCAACGCCTGCATGAGCCTAACGCTGTTCAGCAGCCATAAATGCCGCGAGAAGTGCATTGAGGGCAACTGCCCCGTCTGCCATGAGGCGCTGTTTGATAGCAGCCAGCCAATCAAGGTACGACGAGGGGTTGCAGGCCGAGGACCGGATGCCGTGCGTCACTGCACAGGTGTTTCCGCAGCAGTTTTGGCACAGATGCCGTTTGTCCTTGCACGTGTCGACGCGGGATCCGGTCAACACCTTTCCACTACCTTACCGCTTGAGTTTTCCGTGTTAGGGTGGTCCAATTCATCTCCACCTTTCTTTTTGACAGGAGAGAAGTGCCGCACTCTGCGCCTTCTGGTCGTGCCTTACAGCTTGGCTTTTCCGTTCGCAGGAGCTGCCTTGCGGGCACTTTATGCACAGCAGCTGCTTTCTCACGTACACTCGATACAACTACACCTGCCCACTGTGCTGCAAGTCCGTCGGCGACATGTCGGTGTACTTTCAGATGTTGGACTCGCTGCTGGCTTCGGAGAGGCTGCCGCCAGAGTACTCAGGCCGCATGCAGCAGGTGCTCTGCAACGACTGCGGCAAGATGGGCTTTGCGCCTTTCCATTTCGTGTACCATTCCTGTCCGCATTGCCGCTCCTACAACACACGCGTGTTGTAATAAGGCTGCAGCCGAGCGCTTTGGCGCCCGTCCTGTCCAATAACAGGCTGCCGAGGAGTTATGGATGGCCACCAAGAATATTTCGTTTGAATGTGAGAGCACAAAGGTGTGATGAGGGGCTTGTCGCGGTGCTTTTGGCTAATTGTTTGCGGGTGTACGCTCGCAAGGTACGCCCGACGTGTTCACGTTTTTTGCATAGTTCTGATAAAGGAAGTTTTGTGGGTATGTACAGATCTGGCTTTCCGGTGCGCGTTGCCCCCATACAGTTTTTGCCGAGTAAACCGTGAGTGGACGCCGTTTCTTGCCAGGGCACAATGCGTAGAGGCGTCTTTCGGATTCCCCACGTTTTGCGTTACGACGGCTTTCGATGGCTAGGCATCTTCATTATGGGAATGGTGGCATTTGGAAAGCGAGTTTGGTATTGTATGCATGGATGTGGCCCGCGGATACTGCAATAAGGCGGGCATGGCTGAGGATTCGGCGTTCAATGGGAAGATGCAAGGTACACTAGATTGTAGTTTTAATTCTGCTTGAAATGTATGCATGATTTTGTGGCTTTGGGGCAGTCCAGCAGGTTTCGCGGTGGACACGGCGTACTTCCTGGTTAGCCAGCATGGATTTGATTTGATGGTCACTTCTATCACTGGAATCAGTTGAATGATTGATGTTATAGTGAATTGTTACCAGTTGTTATGGATATTATTATACACATGATGTCCTGGTACGTGTTGAGAGCAATAGAGGAGGCATGCTCTGGAGATGCATATTGCGACGTTCCACACGAGGTACTTGTCAGAGCGCGGTGCACGGTGGCCGAGAGAGCACCTTGTAGCAATAGCTCCTGGTGGTTGTAGTTACACGTTTTATGAGTGGGAAGTGCGCATTAGGAAACGTGCACACCTACATACTGTTTTGCGAATCTCCAAGCCAACATTGCAAATTTCGAGGCCGTTGTGTTTTCACCACGTCATAGGACGTGCTAGCATGTATTTTAAGGAATGTAAGGAATATACAGTGAACAATGGTGATAACCTTATTAAACCATATTACTATGTAAACCAGGTCACGCGTAAAGATTACAAACCCATGCTTGCAACTTACCTGCCCCTACTACCACTTCTGCATCGGATCGTCACACCGCATTATCCTACCCCACCTGGGTGCCAACCAAGAAGAAACTGAAAACGTGAAAATCCAGCACAATCCAAGAAGCCACGCTCCAACAAAAAACGCCGTCCGGTCCCTTGACCATCACACCTAACGTGCATGAGAATTCAGCTGCTTTCGAAAATGCCCATTCGAAAATGCCCAAGGCATACAACTGGTTACACTCCTGCTACGCGAACTGCACAGCGCAGGTACTACAGCAGCGACAGCGATTGGATGGCTGCCCGCTCCTGGTCTAGCTTCCGCTGCAGCTTGGGACCTTCCAACAAGCCTTCCACCTGCATGATGGCGGCGCGGTGGGCGAGGTAGGTCGATGGGCACAGAGCGCCTCTCATGAGTCCCCATCTATCCAGTAGCCGCCCTCCCCAAGCGCATGCTCATGAAAGGCCTTTCCTAACACGGCACGAGAAGGTTCCTTTTAGGGTGGACTTTGGGTGTTGGGTGGAAGGAACGTCCAAAGCCACCCCACGGCGCCGAGACAACATTTCTGCTCTTCTTCCCGAAAGGTCACCACCCGCCGTTGTGGCACATCCGCACGACTGCCTCACCTGTCGAGCCGTCTGCAGCACCGCACCGACGATGATGAGGAGGCTGGTCGTGCCCAGGCTAGTACCCAGGATCTGCACACATGCACTGTCGTATAGCTGCGCTGCCACCGCTAGGGCGCCCAGGCATGCACCACCCCAGAACTTGCATTGCAGCAGCTTGTTGCGCAACTCCCACTCGGTGGGCTCCCCAGGGACAACACCCTTAAGGCCCACGTTCATCTGGTACGGCCGAGTGTCAAAGTTTCCCGTTGGGACAAGAAACAGAGTAAGCAGTCAGATCTCCGGGCTTTCCGCTCGACCGTAAACGGTGTAAAAGAACACAGAAAAGGTGTTCGGGCGAGGGTTTATAATTATAATAGGACTGTGGCACGTCCCAGGCGTCGTAAAGACTGAAGGTGCCGTGCTAATATTCAGCTTCTCATGCCATAATTTGCGCATTGCGCCTGGCACGCATACCCCCGGTAGCCCCCATGAACGAATGCGCACCATGTTGAAGTACTCGGCCATCTCCTTGGGGTTGATGGCCCCCAGAGGCAGGAACTCCAGCGCAGCTACAGTGAGGCCGTAGCCGACAAGGCCCAACGGGCTTACTAGAGCTGAGGACAAGGCCGCCGCCGCACCCGCGCCGCCGCCGAGCAACTCCACTAACTTGGGAAGAAAACCAAAGTATGCTGCGCCACCGAGCACGATGGACTGCGAAGTAGTCAGCATTGTCGGTTACGGAGGAAGGCGCTTATCACCGAGCAGTGTCCATCGGTAAGAGAGTGTTTCATCAGGACTGACAAGGCATTTAAGCATATCCTGGGGTGTTGCACGCGTATATCGAGAGCAACAGTCGCCTGGCAGATGGCACAGGCATGTCGTTCTCCTTTAACCTTCAGCCTAGTCCTATTAATCCTCTGCTATCCCCCTAAATTGCCCATCCCTTGCCACCTCACCATCATGCCATTGGAGTTGAGTTGGATGGGGAAGTACTCAGACGGGCGAGCGCCCCCAGCATTAGAGCCTGAACCCACGGTCCTGGTTCCTGCGACCCCGGATCCCGCACCCGAGGCGGTGCCAACTCCAGGCAAGGATAGGGGTACCCCTCCACCCGCTACTCCTCGCTGCGACCGCTCGCTGCTCTTCTTCTGTGCCAGAATCCGTGCCTGAGCGATGAGGTCTTGCTGCGGGCAAGTGAAGCGCCCGGAAGAGGGCGGAACGAACGAACAGCACCTATAAAGAGGGAACCCCAGCCATGGCTACCTCCCGAATATAGCGCTGCAACCGCTCTCGAGGCCCCCAGATGGAGATATAACAACTGCCAACATATTTCAATCGGATAGGAAAAGGCTAAAACCCTCCGCGCTACGCTGCCCTGCACCCACGTGCGCTGGAATTTGCACCGATCCAGCACACTCATTCGCACATACCATCTCCATCACGCCACCTACCAGTCCGCCGCCTCCGCCACCACCACCGCGCGGCTCGGGGGGCGGAGGTGCGCTGGTTGCATACTGCACCAGCGGCAGCCTCAGCTCCGCAGTGGAGAGCCACACGGAGGTCAGCACAAGCGCCAGGTAGCCCCCCAGCATGGCCGCCAGGCGGGCGGGGGATAGTAGGCTCGTGTCCAGCGAGCACAGCACCGTGTGCAATGTGGACGCGTATTCTGTGCCGCAGCCGAGATGAAGGGCGCGGGATTACCGGAGACAGGATCCATTGAACGAGGTTTTTTGAAAAAATGTGATGGACTAGGAACAATCGAGTCGAAGCAGGCAGCAAAACGAGGATGGCAGACTAAGATGGGCCGGATTAGAGCCGCTCCGTTGCAAAGGTGTGGCAAGAATAGCACCAGCCGAAGTAGCTAATCCTATTAAGGAAATGAATAACAGGCAGCGGCCAGGCCAGGCCAGCCGCGGAGACATAGCTGCCCACCCTTACCGCCGACCATCCGTTAGTACACACCCTTGTCCTGTCGCACACGACACAGGGGCTGGCCCACCGTAAATATCCAATCACTTCAAAGTCGGCCACAGAATCCCTACAAATCCAGGACCCTCTCTCGCTTGAAGCCATTCACCCTATCATTGCGGTATGTGTGACGAGCGCTGAGGGGTGAATGCCGCGGTGCGATGGTGTATGCGCTCACCCGTGATAATGCTGGAGCAGATGACCAGCGAGGAGCCATTCCCCAGACCAAAGGCCGTAATGGTGGAGGCGCACATGTGGATGCAGGCACTGCCCGCCACCAGCGCCAGGACGGTCTGTGGCACAAACATGCCGCCACCGCCGAGCACCGCGCAAGGCTCCAGCTCAAAAGCGCGTACAAGGCCCTGCTCATCCGAGCACGGCATTTGAGGCCGGAGGTTAGGACGGGATGTGGTCACGAGTCTATTGGAAAGTAGCGAGGGGGCCTGGGATGAGAACTGTCAACAATTACGCAGATGCGAGAAATTGCATATGTTAATGCAAGGATAGATAGATACCCGGGATAAGCTCAAGGGAAAAACAGCCCAGGACAATCAGGAGGTGCAAAAAAGGTAGAACGTTCTTCTAGGATGCACCCTCCTGTAAATCCCGATGCAAAGCTGGCCGGACAGCCCTCCCACCCTCCTTGCCTTTCCTTCCTATCAGGCTTCCAACCACCTACAAGATACACCGCAAAACACAGAGCGACGAGGTTGGTGGTGGAGTTAATGAGCGCCTCGCCCGTGCGTCCCTCCTTCCGGGCCTCCCGCAGCCGACTAAGCCAGCTCAGGCCCGGCAGTGTGGCCATCTCCTGGGGTAGCACCAGCGCGACCGCCAGCAGGATGGACGCGTTTACAAAGGGAGATATGCCCAGATCGAACAGGGAGGCGGGAATGTCTTGAGCCTGACCATAGAGCGCCTTGATCAGCCGCTCACCTGGGGCGGAGTGAAGTGACGGCGGGAAGGGGGCAGAGCTTAGGCATGCACGGTTCAGGTTCTATGCAATGATAGGCTTGATGCGGGAGCAATTGCTGTGCTCGCGCTGGGCAACTGGCAAACGGCTAGGGACGGAGGCGACACCATGTAGACCATGGTGTGAGATCATGTAAATTGCCTAAAGCGGAGAGAGGACGAGGTCAAAGGTGTTCGTGGGGGAATTACAGAATGGTGGAATGATGGGAAGAGGCTACCCCGAAGGCACAAAGCTGATGGATGACTTTGTCACGCCATTCCATCTCAGCTTGCCTATGTACACGTGACGTGTAAACAAAGCCTCCCAGCCCAGATGCCCCCATGCTTTGCCAGGAAGCCCTCCATGCCCCACCCCCTGCAGCCACTAGACCGCACCCACCTGCTGTGCTCGCCCCTGCGGTAGACACGAGTGCCAGATCAATTCCTGGCATTGGAATGAAGTGGCCGCAGCGGATGATTGCCAACAGGCCCACAGTCAGCACAGCCCGCGTGAGGATCTCGCGGTAATAATAGTAGAAGCGTGCCAGGTTCCCCAGCCATCCTCCACCCCAACCCCAAACCCAGGCAGGGAAGGAACCCGGCTGCGGCCTGCGGGTTTACAGATATGTGTGAAGATAGGGTTACATGGGGGTTTGAGTCAGGTGGGTGGCTGCGAAACGGGGGTTGAGGCTTATGCGGAGGCTTCGCGGGGGTGCTTCTTTACGCTGGAGCCAAAACTGCCCACAGCCGGGGCTGCTCAGGGGACCCATGCAGAAGGCAGAAGGCACCCAGCAGGTTGCTCACCCAAAGCTGGCCGAGTTCATAGCCTGGCAAACAAGCGGCTGATCTTTCGAAGCTCCGCCGCCAGCTTCTGACGTGCGTAATCTCCGTTGGCTATGGTGCCGATGACCAGGTAGCTGTTGCTTGCGATGGTACTGACACAGCAGGTCGGACGTATAGATGCCCCGTTCACGCCAGCGCTGAGCCCCTAACGATGCAGACGTGCAAATTGTGCGAAGGCACGAGCGACTCCTGCCAGGAAAAGGCATGGTAGGACTTGGTAGCAGCGCTGACATTGTAGAAGCCATGTAGAAGACAAGATTTGGAAGGGAATCGGAGCTAAGTCAACGCTCCTACGTTCAGGACCTCCAAAAGCGGGCTAGAGCAAGTGTCTATTATACACTTAACTAGTGAAAACATTGCTATTTGACAGGAGTCTTAGTACCTCTGTACCTAGGAATAGCAGCTTGATTAGCCGTTTGCGAAACACGGCGAAACTGAAGTGGTTAGGGATATGTTTGAGAGCTTCAACCCGCTATGGGCCAGAACTATGGTTATGACATTATGTACATGCGTAATGTACTTTCTTATCGTAATTCTTGGTTCAAACCTGTGAAGTTGCAATTTGGATTTGCAGATGTCACCTAGCACCAGACCTACCCCAGCAACACATCACGTTGTTTCGGTGTACATGCCTTATAGCGTCGATGCATAGGTCCCGGTTCGCAGCACCTCGCCCGAAATCGCCCAGCTTACAGCCAAGCCGGGACTTGCCACGACACATCCCTCAGAGAGTAGACCAGCGGTTTAACGCAACAGTCCAGTCCACAGCCAAAATGAGTTCAACGGCAGATGCCAACTACGGTCCAGCACCCGACGGGGCTGCGGGGCCGCCCAAGCTGCCTACTCGGTTCTCCTCCCTAGCTCGCCTTCCCCCTGGCTCCCTGAGCTCCGCCTACGCGGACCTCTGCAGCGGCCCCTGGCCAGGTCCCTGCCAGCTGCCGGTGGTGTATCATCCGTCTTACAACATTAGCTTCTTTGGCGTGGAAAAGCTGCACCCATTTGACTCGTAAGTTGTTACAAAGCGACTAAGGACCTCATAACACTATCGTCGTCGTCGACTTTGCGTATTACCATACGCGTAGTGCTGATTGGCTAACGTATCCGGCGTGCTCCACAGTTGCAAATACGGCAAAGTGATGTCTGCACTGAAGAAGCAGCACGTGCTGCGGGAGGGTCAGGTAGGTTCCCACAGATTCGCGCTGTCGGCTAGCAAGTGCAGGGCTACGGATATACGGCCCACTTGGCCAGGTTACGGCAGGCCCAATTCTTATGCGGTGTGACCGGAAGAGCGCATAGGGCAGAGGCGCAGAACATAGGGCGCCTGCCTGATTCCCAGTTTGCTGGCGGGAAGTGGTAACATGTAATCGGCCGAACCGCTGGGCCTCAATTGGGGCCTGATGCGGAGTAGGAGGGTGCTGGTGCGAAGGGGCCGGTGCCGGGTACGGTACTACAGTCGGAGGCGCTCGTTTGGGTGTCCTGGGTGTGTGGTGTTCTGGCCTCACCTTTGCGGCAGCAGTGAAGTGGATGAGGCCTCGTGTTCAAACGTGGGGCCACGCAACCACCATGTTGACCCTCCCTCCTAATCTGTCCGAGTGGGACACCGCGTGGCAATCTCTCCTTAACCCCCATCTCTTTCCGTTCCCGCTTCTTTTACCGCCCTCAGACGGTACAGCCGCGGGAGGCTTCCCTGGAGGTTCTAGCTGATGTGCACACGCAGGACTACCTGTACCGGATACACTACCACAACTTCACCATAGTGCAGGTGGGTGACTAGCTGGCTATCGCCTGCCAGGGGTGGGTGGGTTGATGACCCGTGGGTCGGAGCTCGGCCGTGGCCTCGCTTCGGTGCTCTAGCCGGAATCCAATCCCCATGTAGCTGACGCAGTGATGTCACCGCCTGCACGCCTCTGGATGGGACACTTGTTGCCCTCAGCCCGTGGCTTGGCTCCTTACCGGCTGGCTTACTGGCTGGCGCCGTCAGTCCGTGACCGCTGACCCTCGCACCGGCTCAAGCCCAGTGGTCATTGCTGCTACGTTAGCCTGCCATGTATCGATACACACACGCATACATCTCGAGTTCATCACAACGTTATTTTGCGTGAGCTTGTATACTAATCACCTTACACCGTGACGTGTGCTATGTATTTCTCTGGCACACACACCTCGACCCCAATAGGTAACCGAGCTGGCGGCTTTATCGCTGTTACCCAACAAGCTGCTGCAGTGGCGCATTGTGGCACCCATGAAGTAAGGCGGCTGCCTCGGGAGAATGGAGGGCCCTGGTCTGCAATATATTGCTTGGCATGGGATGGGAAGGCCTCGAGGGCTGGGTTGGTTCAGCTTGCATAGCGCGTCGTATACCTTGGCGGCGCAACCGGGCCCCGTGCACGCAGGATGTCACGTCACATGCTGCAGCAGGGCTTTAAGGCAGTTCAAAACCCAGTCAGAGCCCAGCCGGCCTAGCCGAATTAACTAAGGCATGTCGCGGGCAGGAGCGAGCAGCAGCCCCCTAAGTATTCCAGCTGGCCAAACACAGCAGCAACGGCAGCAACGGGCGCATCAGCCCACAGCCGACCGTTCCTCCTTTACTCCACTGCGACGTCCCCAGCCGGGCTCTTCCGTCCGCTTGCGACACTATACCAAGCTAAGGACAGAGGACAGGAAGTACAAAGGCCTCCCATCACCACCACCACCGCTACCACCACCGCCTCCACCACCTGGATTTGTCCTTTTCTGCTCGGCCAAGTGGCTAGGCTAGGGCGGCGCACTCCGGCCAGCCACCCAACCTGCCAGCGAGAACCCGCACATTAGGCCCTGGACTACCCGGACTGGCACAGACTAACAGCACTAACTGGACCACCGACCTACTACGCCCGACCGGCTTTCCTCCTCCCCAGTACCGGTCTGTCATAACCACGTTCTTGTTATCCGCAAGTACGGGTTCTCTCGTCGTTTCCATTAGCGCTGTACTTGCCACTCCTGGGCGTTCACGTTCGGGTAAGGACTGGGCTTGCAGACATGTGCGTTGCTTAACCCTCCCCATTTCCTTGCCCCCGCCACAGGCTTCATGTCGGTGGTACCATGTTGGCTACTGGTCTGGCTCTGGAGCGAGGCTGGGCCATCAATATAGGGGGTGGCATGCACCACGCCAGCTCCAGCCGGGGCATGGGCTGGTGCCCCTTTGACGACATCGTGCTGGCGGTCAGGCGCGTACGGAAAGCGGCGGGGCGGCTGGTGGTCCTGTACATCGACCTGGACGCACACCAGGGCAATGGAGTGGAGCGGGTGTGTGGGGTGGGCGGGTAGGGTCGTATGTGAGGTTAAAGGATTAAAATGATTAGTTAAGAGGAAAACAAGGGTGAGTGAGTGTGGCAATAGGCGAGGCGGCTGTACGGCAGGGAGTCACGTGCGCGCCTTTGAGCTGAGCCGGGAAGCAGAACAGAGGGTTATGTGGCAATTCGGGGGCATCAAGACCTGCATTGCGGCCGTCTGGAGTTCTCTCTATTCTTACATGATCGAGCTGTGCATTCCCCTCAACCCGCCCATACTGTTAAACGCGCCTATGCCCCCTCGCCCTCCGGTAACCTGCCCTCGCAGGATAAGCTGCAGCTGCCAATGGAGGATTTCTACATCATCGATTTTTACAACGCGCGCATCTTCCCACTGGATGACGAAGCCAAACCCGCTATCGACATCCCCGTGGAGCTGCGCTTCGGAGCCGATGACGACGAAATCCTGGGGCGTCTGCACGCCGCGCTGGCAGTTGCCGCCAGAACCCTGCCGCGCCCCGACCTCGTTATCTACAATGCAGGCACCGACGTGTTGGCAGGCGACCCGCTGGGTCGACTGGGCATGACTGCGGCGGGTGTGGTGCAGCGGGATGAGGTGGTGTGGCGCTGGTGCCGTGACATGGCTCGTGCCCCCGTGGTCATGGCGCTCAGTGGCGGCTACACGCGTGAGTCGGCGGGGGTCATCACGGCGTCCATCAGGAACCTGTTTGAGAAGTTCGGTCTGGGGGTGGATGACGTGGCGGCCGGGAGCGGCGGCAGCACGGTGGAGGCATCGCAGGCGGTCGCGCCAGCGGGCCCGGGGGAAGACGGGGATAAGGGTGGTGCGGGGACACCAGCAACGGCAGGGGGCTTAGAGATGCAGGGTGGGATGTGGGGCGAGAAAGTAGAGGTGCAAGCGAACGCAGCAGATGCGGGGCCGGTATCGAACTAAGGGTGGGTGAGTGAGTCATGCGCAATCAGCCACGATATACTGAGTGGTTGGGCATTGGGAACGACTGTGCGGCTGAGGACTGCTGTGAGCGCCGGGACGAGGGCATGCGACGAGGACATGAACCGGGGTGTATCAGTGATGAAAGAAAGAGGAGGCCTAAGCTCGCACTCGTTCAGGGCCCGTGATTTGCTTCGACACGGACGCGCTCCGTGTGTGGAAACCGCCGCCGGACGGGTTCTGACAGGCGCGAGGTCGTCATGCGCCTGCGGTGTCGGTGGAACGCCTGTATAGCAATCTGCATGGGTAATGAAAACTGTTTGGGTGCTTGGCATTGGAGTTCCATGTGCTGTATGTCCGTATGTAACTCGCAGAAACACAGGCTGATGGAGTGGTTACGCAAGTGCTGAAGCGTTTGTCATTGCCTGGCCCCTTCCTGGGGCTCCGGTTCTGTAAAAGGTCGCCTAATTGAAGGTTGCCATGTGGAGGCAAGTGACTGGATGCGACGGTTGGCTGAGATTCTCACGCGCGTAGTGTAAGGTGGGAGGCACTGTATGCCCTCTCGCGTTTGTACACAAGATTAGGAGACTCAAACTGGATATGTGGTTTTCTGGCACACCATACAGGAGCGGATACCCTGCCGCGCGGGAAGGCTGACCTACGGTCTATGGCGCAATATTGCACAATACCGTTGACGTTAAAGTTCGTCAAGTTGTCAGGTGTAGGGTACCAGTCTTCCTGAGAGTTGATGAGGCCGTTGCATGCGGCATGGAGGCATGGGGCATGTATTGGGCTTGTGCTAACCAGGTGCCCGGGACAGGCTGTGTGGCGAGGTACGGACAGTTAGCTCTCAAGACAGTTGCAGGCCAGTGGGCGCTCAGCTGGGACGCAATTCGCGCAAAGTGCGAAATCCTGCCTGTTGCTTGGCTTACCTTTGTCGCGCGGCGACACATATTTGCATTGAGGTGCGACCACAGAAATTTTGCAAGGCCTTCTTACAACTTTTGTTAGAGCTGTACAGGCCAATTATGTTTTTTTATCATTTGTGCGACGCAATTTGCTAATGACGTGACGGATTGGCCTCGCCGTGGGCCGCTTGCAACTGAAAACAGTTGGTGTTATCAACTGTCCGTTTCCTTTTCCTGCCATGAGATCTAAATCCAAAAGGAGCCAATTAATAGTCATATACCAAGACAGTTTGCCACCGCACGGCAACCCATCTGCACACCGAGTTGACAGCATCTCACACGTACTGTATGATTGTACGGCGCAAGTACGGCGCGCGGATTGCGGCTGCATGTCTCCTTGTCCGCCCTTGTGTCTTAAATAACACCACACTCCACAATTCGCTATAATACAATCCTTAATGACCAAACAGTATCGAAAAAATCCTTTTGCGGCGCAAACCTCAGTCATATTCGTAGCCCAGGCTTACGCAAGAAGCAAATCGCCCCCCCTTGAACTCCCACACTGCCAATGTCCATGCCACGGGCCTGGCTCCCTGACCTGCTGCGCAACCCCACAGGTCGCCCGCAGTGAAACCGAATGCCGTAGCCACTCCTCACCCGCTGTCGATAGCATCAGCTGCCTCACATTCTCTAGCCAAGTGCAGCTGCAGCATTCAGCATCCCGCTATACCTTTTAGCCGCACATCCAGCCAACCTGGGAACCCATATGCAAGAGTGTGCTGCCTGATGTTGCGCTGCGAGCTCACCCTGCCGTCCCGCGTCACCGGACTGGTGGTCCGGGAGATACCCGCTTGCCATGCGGCCTTCTCGCCATCGGCACCTGCAGAGTTACCAGCGCCATCACCGCCATTACCATCACCACCACCCATTACTCCACCAATAGCACCAGCACGATCACCAGCAGCGACACGGTCAGGCCAGGATGCCGTGGTGCAGGGCGAATACGCCGCTGCCGCCACTGAGACGCTTGTCTTCTTCGCCGACCGGATTCACGTCCTCGAGGGCGGTTTCGGACCCCGGCCGTTCCGGCTGGGCCCGCAGCTGCAGCTGACGGACGCCAGCAGCCGCACTCTGCACCGCCTGTGTGACAGCACACCCTGCGCTATCTACGAGCCGCTCTCCGGCAGCGTGCTGTTCGTGGAGGGCTATGCCATCATGCGCCTCGACGCCCGCAACGTCGTGTCCTTGCTGGCGGGCAGCAGCGCGGACTGCGCGCGGGCCGACGGGCCGCCGCGTCTGGCGCGCTTCCAACACATCCGCGCCATGGCGACCGACGGCCGCGGCAACGTGTACGTGGCAGAGACGCATTGCATTCGCAAGCTGACGGTGATGGTGGCGGTGACGCCGGCAGCAGTTAACGGTGGCGGCAGCCTCAGCAGGAATAGCAGCGGCGGCAGTTCCAATGGGAGCACAGCCACGTCATGGGCTGGGGCCGAAGATGCGGATGTGAACCTGGACGCCACGGCTGGTGGCAACGACGGCCTTGGGGACGATGGTGGTGGAGGTGGCGGCGGAGCCATCGCCGGCGAGGGGACTTTAACTTGTACAACAGTCTTAACTCTGCCCGGATCTGCACCGCCGAGGGATCGGTGGTACGCACTGATGTACGACCACGCCACGGATTGCCTGCTTGCTGCCACCGACACCGCGGTTTTTGGGCTTCCGCAGCGGCAGCTGGCGTACGAAGGCATGCCGGCTGCAGTCGCTCACAGCGGTGTCGTTAATCGCGGAGCGACCCGCTTACAAGCTGCCGCCACCGTCGCCGTAGCACCGGCAGCGGCGCCGTCAGCAGCGCTACAGCTGATTGCGGGTAATGAGGACATCCGCGGTCACGCGGACAGCCGCGGCTCTACTGCACGCTTCCACTCCATCTCCGCGCTTTTGCCCACAGGCGATGGTGTCGTCTTGATCGCGGACGGCACCGGCATTCGTCAGTTGGGTGTACAGACAGGAGACGTGCGTACGGCATTGCCGGAGGGCACTGTCCCCTACGAGCCCTCCTGCTTAGCGGTCCTGCCGCAAGGTTGCCTGGCGGTGGGCAACACCGCCTACAATCCCAACACACTGCTCTTCCTCGGAATCGGTTTCCGGCAGACAGCGGTGGGGGCATTGCGACCTCTGAGGTCAGGCCTGGCGCGAGGAGTCAACGACCTGCACTCCGTGCGGCCGAGGCTGCGCTGGGAAATGCTTATGTTATCGCCTGGCGACGGTGCCGACAGCTGCATCGGTGCCGATAGGGGCCCGGGGTCGGCAATGGTGGTCGTGCGTGTGGGTGAGCTGCGGCTAGTGGTGCACCGGGCTGTACTGTGCGCTGGGTCAGACTACTTTCAGCAGCTGCTTGAGGGGGGCTTCAAGGAGTCCGCTCCCTGGAGGGCAGCCACCGACGGAGTTGCTGAGGTGGCCGTGACGGTGGAGCTGCCGGAGGCTGATCCCGATGCCGTCACGGCGCTGCTGTGTTACCTGTACACCGGCAGCCTAGAGGTTCCGGAGCGGTTGCTGCGCCCTGCCACAGAGCTTGCAGGTCGGCTGCTGATGGTGGATGCACGCGCGGAGCTGCAGCAGCGGCTGCTGGCGGTGGCATGTCCGGAAACAGTGGTGGAGGATTTGGTATGGGCGGAGCGGCACAACCTGGGAGCGCTGCTGGAGGGGCTGGTGATGTACTATGCGGAGAACTCAAGACGCATGGCGGCGGCGGCACCGACGGCGGCGGCCCTGCAGCGGCTGGCGGAGGACAGCCCTGGCCTGGCGGCACGGCTGCTGCTGGCAGTCTCGGCCTCTCGGTGGTGAAAGAAGTGGAGTGGAAGGCGAAGGCGTGGCGGGCGTGGGGGCGTAGGAAGCGTGGAGAGCGTGAAGGCATGGGGGCACGAAGGCGAAGACGCGTTCCGCAAAGGAGGGTTAAACCGTGAGCGCCATACGGTGTGTGCGTTGAGAGGGCTTACTGGCAGCTAGAAGCGGAAAGGCGGCAGGCGAATGAGGTAAGGCTAGGACTTCGTTCCTTTGGCTGATCAAACCAGCGCGTCCTCCGGATGGCGGTGTCAACTTCACGCGCGCGTCAAGACGAGATACGTATGGCGAGAACGGCAAAATTAATTACTTCACGTTTGCGTACATGGACAGGAAGGAGGCGCTAGTTTTCGGCGTGAATATGCTGCGCAGGCGCAGGATTGTCACGCTCGGGGGCCTAACACGCTTCAGCCGATCATGGGAAATGGCCACCATGTCCGGTATCCCCTTAGCACTCCCAGGATATCGGCCAGACAATGCGCCAATCGCCGGGGCCCGCAGCATGGCTTGGCCGCAGGCAAAAAGCCGGATGTGTGAGTGGTATGTCACGTGAATGGGCGCGTCTGCGTGCCTCGGAGCGCGGGCTCTTGGTGCCTCCATGGCCTTTGGAATGTCCCTGCAGATGGCCCAGATAATTGACCGCTACACAGGATTACAGCCGTACGTCTAGACCGGGGAATCCGTAAGGGTGACGGGGGTGCATTCCATGTGCCATGCAGTCCAGGCCAGTGCGCTTTTAATGATCTTTGGCATCGAGAAATGTTATCTATTAAACGCGGCGCCCAGGTGCTGTGCTGCAACTTGAGCAAAGGAATTTTGAACCACCAGAAAGCAGGTATATGGCGGGTATTCAAGGCTCCAGTGGAAGAAATTCGGGGCCGTAGCACGGGGTAGCAGGGTGAACGCAAGAATCATGGAATCTTTACCGAAGAGACGCACACCTGCCACTCATCGCGTATGCATCAACGGCACCCAAATTCCTACGCCATTTATTTCATGTTTCATGAACGTCGTACTTCTGCGAAAAAACTGTACCTCGTGGCTAAAGCAAAAGTCCAGCATGCTTTGTTTGGATAAGCAGTACTTATCAGCAGTGCTTTCGTCTCAACAGCCATGGCGACACCGGTGCCAATTGATAGGGTGTCGGATTTTCAGGCAGGGCTCTGCCGCTGCGGCGACAGCTGCCACATTTGTTGCCTTGGTTTGTTCCTTCCTTGTGCGCTTTATGGTGATTCATATCAGAGATTGTTCGGGGAGGGCTTCTGGTCACGATGCTATCTGTACACGTTCTGCTGTTGCTGTTTCCGGTGTTGCTTTGCGGCGAATACAAGGAGGACATTACGCCTAAAATATGCTATCCAAGAAGCTCCGTGCAGCGATATCTGCGTGCATATCTGGTAATGTGTTCGTACTTCGTCATGTCAATTGCAACTTTTAGCAACAGACACGTCGTTTCACCGCGAACTGCAGGTGTCCCGTATGTGCGTTGTGCCAAGAAGCACGAGAGCTACAGTATCGTGGCATGCCAGCCCCGGCTGCATTTGCTTAGGTACAACAGCTGTACGAGTGATGCGTACTGCCAGTGACTTAGCCACCAAACCTCACAGCCGGCAGCTCCCAGGACGCTCCAAGAGAGTTATTGTGACTAGATTCTGGGGTCCATTATAAATGACGGCAATAAGCCATAGAACATATATTGTACATATCTTTTGTTTAAGTATGTTGATCCATATGACTCCCCTTTTTCCCCTTCTGTCGTGGGCGCGTGTATTTAATCATTTTGCATGCAAAGAACAAGCTAACGCTTAAATTCAAACGTGTCTAACTACGAGCGGCGATGGCGCTGTAGTGCGCCTTTAATTGTGGTCGGAGCTGTCGGAGTTCTTCATTGTCTTTGCAGGTTACGGTTGCGTCAGGGATGTCGCAGTGATGAAATAGTCCGCGGACTCAATTGCTACTTGCAAATACACAGCAGCAATAATGCGAGGATATTGTTGCTAATTAGGAGCAAGGAGCTGAGGTGGGCTTGGAGTTGCCGCGCTATGCTTCAGAAAGCAAGGTAACCTCTTGGCGTTGGGACTTTAGTATTTGTTTGCTTGGCTCCGCGTGGAACTCATTGCCCATGGCATGGAACTTGCCAAAATGGCGAGCTCGTGATTACTCATCAGTTTGGGCAGTTAGGGGGGATGCCGTACCGGCCCGACTGCCAGTTTGCCGCCACCCTGCAACCCCACCACAAACCACCACATGCGTCGGACATCACCTTAGCGGGACTGAGGACTTTCCCTAATTACCTATGTGGTTGCCTTTCTGGATGTAGCTAAGGCGTATGACTCCCTTAACCGTGATTTCTTGTTTGGGACGATGGAGCCAATGGGAGCAAGAGAAGGCCTGCTTGTCTGGGCCCGGCGCTTGTTAGCTGACACAAATTCAGTCGCTCTATCTGGTGAATGGGCACGAATTTAGGCCGGTGCGTATGGAGGCAGTTCGCATATCTGGTTCGGCAGGGCTATCCACTGGCGCGCCTTCTCTACTTGTTCACATTGCAGGCATTGCTCTGCTGGTTACTAATGTGGGGTGGGCATAGCCGAATGACCCGGACCTTATCACGGCTGTACAGTTCGCAGACAATACAAAGGTGGTCCTGGGCGGGGTATAGGATAGATGGCGATGTTTGCACAGGCTCCCTTCCTTCGTCCTGTAGTACATCCATGTCTGCTTGAGAAGCTGACATCGCTGCTGCAGCTTCTACCGACAGCGGGCAGTTCCGCTGGGGCCGGGCTTTACAGCATCACCGCGGCCGCCGCCAGGTCACGATGTCGCAGTGACCACTGGGCAGCGAGTATCAGAGTTGAGGTCCCCGACATGCGTCCGGGGACGGAAGTTGGCGCATGTCAGTGCTTTTACATAGCGGAGCGCCATGGCCACGTGGCCATCGTGGTCAATTACTATCTCAAAAGTTCGTTATGGCTGAAACACGTCTACTCATGTGCATGCCTGTAAGTTGCTAGTTGGGAGGCTCACTGCCACGTCGCTTCCCCAACCTTTTCTCACGCGACGACGCGAGATGCTATTTTCATTCTCTTCGTGCGAAGATTGCGGGGTAGACCTGTGTGGAAGCTTAAGGATATCAGTTCGTTGTTAGACGCGTGTAAGTCGTCTGTAAAAGTCATCGCAGCCCCATGCAGCGACTGCGGCTTTGATAATGACGTTCAACATTAGTAAGGAGGCACGCTCACATGCACCAAGCTCTGCGAACATCGGCCCGATGTCACCCTCACATATCAAGAGGAAGCCAGCTCTCGGAAAGGGATCCGATGTAGTCCAGCATTCAGCGCGAGCCCATTACACACTGTTGCAGCGCCCCTACCCCATGTTTCGATAACGACGCCAACAGCAACAAAAATCGGATCCACGTGCCTAACTTGCACAGGCGGATGCCGCACGTCCGTCGTATCTACAGCGCCGTATCAGCAACTATCATGCAGCTGCAAATGAGCTCTGAGCGCGCATCACTCCAGCGCACGCGGGCAACATCCTCCCGGCTCAACATCCCCCTCATCGTGGAACTGCATCAGTAGCCGACCGGGCGGCCCCGCTTTGGGGGGTGTCGCATGCCTCAGACCTGTGGCCTTAAGCATCATTTGGGCGCGCAAATCCGGCTGCTTTTGCCCTTCTGCATCATACAGGCGGCGCTAACGTGACGTCCGCCAAAATGCCCCGGTCGCCGAAGTGCCGTCGCATTGCATCCAGTAATGTCATGGCTGTGGGTTTGTCTGTTAACGGGTCGCACACCAAATACAGCTCCATGTCGCGGTCGCGTGCCGCCACAAGCACCGACGCCGAGCTCGCGAACCAGGCCATCTTGTTGGGCCGACCAGGAGCGGCTGGCGAGTGGAGTAGGCTGTGGAGTTGCGTGTAGGAGGCGGCCAGGCGAGCCGCGCCGGCTGGCGACCGGTGCAGCGGGCAGGGTGGCGAGATGATGGCCTGCTGCAGCTGCTGGAAGCGGACAACGTAGCTCCACAACGGAGTGTGGCCGAACTTGCCGCCTGGGGAAGGAGCAGGGGGAACGAAGGCGACATGCAGCACGACGGTGGAGGAAGGATGCTGGGACCAGCTCCAACTAAGGCCAGTTTTCGTCTGCCGTAAGTTAGAATAGGAGCTGTTCCCGCAATATGGAGCTAATGTGCCGAACGGTGGCGTGACCATGCGTTTTGCGCACTGCTGAGGTCTACAAGAAATGCGCTGCCTAGACGCGCAAACGCACCCAGAGGCCGCGGGAGGTTCTCCACGGACAACACGTTGAGCTGCTGCTGTTGCTGCCGCCTGGCGACCCCGCTGCTGCTGGTGCTGCCGTTGCTGTTGCCCGCATGTTGCAACGGACAAAGAGAGCGCATGCGGGGCATCAGGCCTCTAGCCGACGCCTGATCCTCAAACCACAGTCGGGCCGCCGACAGCTGGTGGAAGGCCTCCGCGCTCCCGGACAGTAGCACCAGGTAAAGACCTTAAATATTGGAAGGTAAACAGGGTAACAGTGGTTGAAACACAGACACCCAAACACGACATATCTACAATGGCCCGGCCCTGAGCTCCACACGGAGGCGGGCTTCGATGGACAAGGAGATGAATGCAATAACCTCGTCGGCCTGCCCTCTTGCCAGGCTACTGACTCACCCGATGACGCGTCTAAGTAGTGGATGTAGGCATGCAGGAAGGCGTCCGAGTTGTAGTGCGGCACGCAGACAGGCGAGAAAGCCTCGCCATGGCCATGTCTGTGGCATTATGGGGGAACCATATAGCTGCGGCGTTCACTTGCTCGCCTCCAAACTTAAGGTGCGTTTTGGGGAGCTGTTGATTGGCGAAGGACACATGCAGGGGTTATGCAAGAAGGTGGCTTTCATGCCACGCCGCCGTAAAAGATGCCACATGAATGAGTGTTGTGCTTTGATGCTGCGCCCTGACCCTCGGGATCGCATGCTCGTCGTAGTCACAGACACAGTGTGTCGCCATAAAGCTGAGTAACTAAAGCCCTCATTCTTTAGCCAGCCGGTCTCTTTCGCTTTGCCCTTTGGACTTTTGAAACATGCCACTACAAGCAAAACCGTAATCTGGACAGAATGTCCATGTCACATGCTTCACCTGTATGCGTTATTGCACATAACGAAGTTCGCCAGCAAGAGGAGGTCATCTGGATGCAGTGCAGGCTGCTGCTTGGCGCGCGACATGGCAACAATATATGTATCCGCCATGAGCAGACCGTACACCGCCCCTGATGCCTGCCGTACACGACAATAGTTACAGCGGAGCAGCGTAACCCTGTGTTTGGCAATCACACTTGCCACGTGATACATGGCTTGCGTGCAAGGATGATTAAGAGTGACGGCATGGCCTCCTTCCCATTGCCCATGGTTCGACTTCCAGGATAACTTCAAAACTGCCTTCCTCCAGACTGAGCGTTTTAATTTCCCTTCTCTAATTTCCCTTCTCTAGAAAAAAAACCCTTTCAGAACCGCCTGCCCGCTCGACTTGCGTGCCAGTCTCCCGACTCACCCGTACTGCGTCCGACAGCAGTTCTGTGATGGCGGTGCGATCCGCAGCTGGCACAGGGAGGGGCTTGTACGCTCCTAGCAGGTAAGACGCGTCCGCACTTAGCATGCCCACAAGCGCTGACAGCACCCCGCCAACCCCGTCGAGCAAGGAGCGTACATCATAAGATGGGTTCCGCTGGATGATGCGTTCAAGCCCTGCAGCGAACAAAAACAAATAAAAAAACATATCCTCAAACTGTGCGCTTCAGGGTTCGGTGTCAGCTTGTACGTCCGCCGTGACGAGAACCGCTGATAGCAAACCATATAGGCCACGCAGTAAGGACGCCGCGGGGCAGCATGAAAGGGCAGTAAGACCGCGAAGACCAGACGCCGCTCTGTGCATCGCGTCCATTCCTAGGTAGCTGAGCGGGAGACGACTATAATCGGCTAACGCCACCCAGAATGGGGACTCGCGCCCGTCCCTTCATGGCTTGCACGTTAAATGCATCACAAAAGGTCCGGTGTAACTTCTGGGCCAGTGGAAGTCTGAGGTCATGCATCAGAACGTGTCATCTTTTCACGCACCTGTCGTTACGATAAGCACCAGCTGGCCATACAGCAACTCTAGCTGCTTCTTCAGGGCGGTTGCTGGTTCACCCACGCTGGAAGCGACAACGAAGTAGAGCGGGCCGTGCAGCATGAAAACGATGAGGGTCGAGCCTGACCGGATGTGCTGCACGGTATCGCCCTGACTTTGCACGACGGATACAAGCGCCGAGATGAGGGCTGTCATGCCTACGAGAGACTTATCCTCGCCGCAATAGCTGTAAATTGGCTTGCCAGCGGAGCTTAAAATAAAGAAATGCTTGGGATACGTATGCCACAGAGTTCCCTCGTCATCGGCATCCGATGTGGAGGCCTCCGCGGAATCGGTCGGTGCACCGGTTCGTGAAGGGAGCACATCCGTAGGCGGATCAGTGCTGCTCCCGCCTGCTGCGTGCTTGAGAGCTAGGTTTGCAACTGCAGCTTCTATCGCCTCCACACTTTCTCCATTGGCATGTGCGTCAGCCAACCGTGTAGGGGCTGGTGCGTCCGCAACTGTAAACTCCGCTGCCGTCAGCGCGTCGGAAGGGGTTTCTGCAGACCCATGCTCATCCTCCTCAGCCGCAGCTCGTCCTACGCTTGCAGCGCCATCTTCATCGTCCTCTTCGTCATAGGCATCCACAGGCCGTGCCTCATCTTCGGTAGTGACGGGTTCCGTGTCCCCTACGATGAGCTGTGCCGCCGGTGCGGACGATACAGAGGAAGCAAAGAACGCTGCACTTAAAACGGGTTCATCTGGATCCATCCTGAGTGTGCGATACCGGAACAGGAGCTAATGATCACCTCCTCGTCCTAGAAACAGACAAAGCAAAGAAACCTGGCCTACTATACCTTCCTAACATGACGTGAACATGCATGATGACCCTTGACCTGTCTCTTCTGGAGTAAGCCTTTGAGCGCCGGTTGGCAGTACCGATACGGCATGATTTGAAGTGAAAGCTAAACTTCGCCACTCCCAGTCACTTACGTTTCTAATTTTATGCTTACAGTATTATTCTGTACTTGCTCAGGGGCATGGGTTGCGCAACTCCGGTCTCAACATGAGCGGCTCCGTTTGGAACAATATCAAGGAGGACCTCCAGGCTTCCTCCAAGCAACGGCTTTCCGGCTTGGAGGGATTGGAGGTACGTCCACGGAGCTTCTTCTGGCAGAATAACAAGCTTGTGACGCCGATTGACTTTTGGTCTGTCCCTGTTCTAGGCGTTGCTCAAACGGACTTCTCTTGGAAAGACAGAGCTTACAGAGCTGATCGACCTTTCGCCAAGCTTGCTATCTGACGCCAATTCGAAGGTGAGAGCAGCTGTCCGGTCTACCAGATGTCTGTTAGGCTGCCCAGCGCATCTGGGACGCATTTACAGCTGAAATGCATGCTTTCAGGTTGCTTTACAAACGCTCGAGGCCTTGGAGACTGCTGTTTCTCGTGCAGACGCTCCTATTAGTTCCTACGCAAGCTCATTGGTGCCATCGGTGGTGAGGCGGTGTTACTGCACAGCGCAGCTAGGGCGCTCCTATGAGGCTTGGATCCCAATGTCTCGTTTTGTTTCACTACCTTTGCGTCACCATTGCGTGAGGTGGTGAGGATGCCTGTCAAGAGGCGACTAGACTGTGTTTTTGACCGCTCGTGGCTGCCGGGCTGAATGGATTTACGGCAGGAGCGCCTTATGTGTGACGAAGTACCTCAACCAGGGGAAATTTTAACGGCTCACGGATGGCGTGCCTACTGCCTGTACTACAGGCTGAACGCCTGGGCGACAGCAGGCAGCCTGTACGAGAGCAAGCTCTGCATCTTCTGACCTCTCTGTTCAAGGCCCTTAAGCCAGAACTTGTGCTTGAGAAGCTAGCGCACCTTTGGCAACACAAAAGCTGGAAGGTTAAGCAGGGCCTCCTTGAGGTCATTGCAGAGGTGTGTACACATCTGAATCAGACCCTCAGCGAATATGGCACTCTAGTGCATGGTGGACTGGGCACCTCTGATGCTTTGATTTGATCCCATGCCCGTAACCTTAACGTATCAACGGAGTACCTTCTGCCACAGGTTGTGAGCACAGCCGGGGCCTCGTTCTTGGGCGGCAGAGACCAGAACAACGCCGTCTTGAAGCAAATTGTGCGCATGATGGAGGAGCCTGACATGTGAGGCGGGGTTTGTTGATCGATATCATGGACGGCCGGCATTTTCTGACCCACCTCATGGCCATCATTTGCTCATGGGCGGGGGCGGCGTTACGCTTGATGGGGAGCTGCCACTCCCCGTTGCATACCTTGGTCAAACGGGATTAGCAGACAGGGAATTTATCACCCAAGTCGATCCAACCGGCAAAAGCGATGTCCACCCTACGACGCGTGTTACTTTGCTAATTCCGGCTAAGACAGCACAGCGCGAGGAGTTTGCTTGTGTCCCTTTTGCCTTATAGGATTGTTCGGGAAGCGGCACTCGGCTGTCTTGGTGAAATTCACCGTCAGGCACCAGCTGCTGTAATCAGCACCGTCCAGGCGTCCAACTTACGTCCTGCACAGCAGAAAGAGGTGTTCGCGAGGCTTGGGATAGCTGGCACAGTTTCCGACGCCACCGGAACGGAAGTTGGCAGCAAGCACGTTCAAGGAGCCACAGGCACGTACGTCAGCGATGCTGGTGCATCTAGTAGTAGCAGTGGAGGGTGTTATCTGACGCCCGACTTGACAGCACCAGTTGTCTTGGACGCCAATCGCGGCCCTGTCGGCGGTGCAGCATCATCCTGGGCAGCCGAGACTCGCCGACCGGGTACTGCAGCCGCTGGACCTTCGCAGGCAACAACCACGGCGGCAGCTAAGCGCGGTGGTTTCAAAGACGGGGGCGGCGTTACGCTTGATGGGGAACTGCCACTTGCTACCCCAATTCCCATCATGTCGGAGCGTGAATTGCGCATGGAACTGGAGGCTGCCACTGCGACACTCGCACAGGCTCCGAACGCCGATTGGCAGGCGCGCATGTCAGCCATGCAGCGGGTGGAGGGGCTTGTGCTTGGTGGCGCTGTCGATTGGGAATGCTTCCACGAGGCCATGAAGGGTCTTGCGCAGGCGCTTTCCCAGCAATTTAAGGAGCGTCGGTCAACCATCGCTCGGCAGACGTGCCACCTTATCGGCGTCCTAGCTCAAGCCTTGGGCCCACGCTTCGAGCCTTATGCGCTGACCCTACTGCCGACGTTGTTTGGCGTGCTCGTGATTACGGTGGCCGTCATGGCTGAGTCGGCAGACGTGGGCGTACGCGGTATTCTGCAGCACTGCCAGACTGGACGACTGCTTCAGGCCATCTCCGACGGCGTTTGCCGTGAGAAGAACCCAAAGACGAGGCAGTTTTGCGCATGTTATCTCACCCAGGTTGGTACAGACGGCGATGCCATTTATAGGTATTGCGTCGTAGTGGCCATGCGCGCGTGCAGCATGCCGAGTGTTTTTTACTGCCAGTTGGACTTGCAGCTTTGGCCTCTTTATTGAATATCCAAAGATATTATATTGGCCTTGTCCGTAACATCAACAACCTCAGATTTTGGGGGATTGGGACGTTGGCGTGTGGAGCCGGCAAGCCGAGCTGGTGGAGGCGGCCATACGTGCCGCAGCGCAGGATTCTCTAGCCGACACGCGGCAGTCAGCCCGGACTGCGATGGCGCTCTACAGTGGCGCGCAGCCTGACCGTGCGCAGGCTTTCCTCAGGCGCCTTGACAACTCGCTGCAGGAGAAATTGGCCGTGGGCTTGGCGGGCGCGAAGCCAGGTGCGATTTGCATGCTGCATTGCCATGCTCAAGCTAATGCAAAGCATGAACGTAGTGTTCGCAAGTTGCCTCAAGTATGCAGTTGACTGATATCCTGTCATTTTGTCTCCTGCAGTTAAAGCAGCGACTGGAACGTCATCGCGTCAGTCCCTAACCGCCGCCATTGCGGCCACAAAGCGACTGGCTCGTCGAGGTACCACGGCGGCTGATACAGCAGGTGCGAATGAAATCGGCTGCAAAGCTGCCTTTGTTTTGGTTAGTTATGTTTGCATGGATAGGCGAAGGCCAAGGGAGGATGTTAGGTCACCGCACAAAAAGATATTAGCTCTGCAAATCGTATTCCTCTGCGTTCACATGTAGGGTCGGGCATCCTGGTCATGGTCCCAGGGGGAGCTAAGGCAGAGCAAGCACCAGAGCCAGCTCAAAAAGTGCCGGAGCAATCCGCAAACAGTGATTCGGATGTCCGGCCGCGCCCGGCAATGCGTGTGAGTAACACCCTTGTCGGGCCCAATCCGTCTACGGGAGTACCGAGTACATCTTGCGACGCCATGTCCGCGGCGACAGAGTCGGCGACTCGCTCCTTATCTGGAACTTTAGGCCGCAATAGCCGGAAGTCTTTAGGGCTTCCACCAGGGCGAATCCCCGGAGGCTCAGCGGATCTTACGGCCCTTCTGGGGGAGAGCTCTAGCACGGGTAAGCTGGGCCTTGTCCGTAGACGCGATGTTTGTTGTGCTGGACTGCCAGCATACGGCCTTTTATGTGCTTTGGTTCACCTGTTCATGAGTCAGCCTTTAAAAAGGGTAAAAGGTGTTCCGGTGCAGAAGACATTTTTCGTCTTCCCAGGGATACGTGCGTTGGATTGTCGTTAGGCTTTGTAATTGCTAGGGCCATTTACATGCGGTTAAGCTACAAGGGTCGGTTGAGCTGACTTTTTCCTTCCTGTCCATTAACTACCCTTGCAGATCTTACCGCGCAAGCACGTATTGCCGCGCTGCGCCGGCCACGGATGTCAGCGGTGCCGTATGATCTGGCACAACGCATCCAGCTTCCCACAGGACCCCCAGTTACGCCCGCTCTGCGCCCTGGCGCGGAAATGCCGGGCGCAGTCCATTACTCGGTTGCGCAGACGCCTGAGCAGGCACCGAGCCGGGGCCCCGTCGTGCCAGGTCAGCTGACTGAAGACGAGCAGTTGGAGGGCCCACGTAGCTGTTAGCATGGTCGTCTTTGGGAACAATATTGTGGCTGTTTTCTCTGCCGACTGAGTATGGCAGGCTATGTACGCATGGGACAGGCAGGATTTCCCAACTTTTAACTCTTGCATGGCTATTCGCGACATGCAGGATTTTCGTGAGTGGCGATGATAAACGAGTGGCTTTTTGGTTAGTCCTAAGTATACGAGTGTCAAGTGTGCCCGTGGTGGTTTGACCCAGTTGGCCGGTGTGGTTCACAACGTGCATGACTCTCATGCCTCAACTGAGGATTGGGCATGGTGTGTAACTGCCTGAAGTCCATTCCAGACCACTTTCCAAAGTCTCACGCGGCATCTGACTCGTGAAGAGTAGCATCTAATGGCAGTCTCAGGGCAGGGGTTCATTTCCTGATTTGTATCACGCGCTGCCCTTCCCCATGCTGCAGCCGCATCAGCGTTACCGTCGCATGCACGCGTATCCGCGTCATCGCAGCAGGACCGGGGCGCCATTAGCGTGGACTCCGGAAGTGTTGCAGCTGCCGGTGGTGATGGTTTGGTGCCACTTACGCGCGTGGTATCGACCATCATGGGGGGCCTTCGGAGTTGGAGTGACAAGGTAGGGGGTACTGTTGTGCAGCTAAAGTTTGCGAATGAGGGATCAAAGTGCTATTTACATGCTATAGGTTATAAGGCCTAATGTTAGGGACGCCCGTTCAATGAAGTAGTATTAAGGGAGCTTTTGTCGATGCGATGTGGAACAGGTCTACCGAACCGCGATTCTACGACTTACAGGCTTCCACATTCCCAAAGTTACCAGAAGACAGCCAACCCAAGGACAGCCTCCACAGAATCGAATAAACCCCAATCAGCCACAGCTATGGCAGTGTAGACGAATGCTCGCCCGGTAAACAAGCTTGTGCGAGCCTCAGTGCAATCAACCACGGGAAATGTCATATGTACTTCTATTGGGATATCGAGGTTTTCCCCTAGTGCTTTACCATTTTGCAAGCACGGTATTTTATTTTCGTGCGGAATGATAACTTCACGAGCCGTGCGTTGCAACATTCTGCCAGGTGGATGCCCTTTCGGCGTTGGCGCTTCATGCGCGGGCTAGCGCCCCTGGCGTGACATTGGCGCCTGGCGGTGGAGTGAATGCATCGCACGCGGCGTTGCAACAAGTGGGGTCTTTTGCGGATCCCGAAAAAGTATCACAGGCACTTGTGCGTGTTCGTGAGGTCCTTCTGGAGGCGCTTGAAGATCCGCATCACAAGGTAGGAAAGTTTACGACACGGCCATGTAACGGTTTGGTAAGTCTGCGGGGCCCTGTGTTTGCCTTGATCTCATCTATTGTACGCGTTGTACAAGCGGGCGCCTTCGCAAGTGTGAGCTGTGACTGGGATACGCTTTACTGAACCGCCATCTGGACCAACTCTCAGCCTGAAACCTGCGAACAATAGGTCTTCGCGGCGGCGTTGTCGTTGCTGCGCGAGGTAGTGCTGCATTACGGACGTGTGATGGAGGGCCAGCTTGACCGGCTGCTGACACTGCTGTTGAGCAAGGCCGCGGAGAACAAGGAGCAAGCGCGAGCCTTGTGTTCCGACGTTCTCGACGGTTAGTTTGGGGCGGCCGGTTCTGTGCTTTTTGTTGCATTCTTAAGCGCGAACTGAAAACGTCGAGCTACTGTTCGAAGTACGGCAAACAGTGGGAATGACAGGTGCTAACTTGCTGACCGGTTTACTACGCAGGGTGCGGCCAGGCTTATCGCGCTGACATCCTGGTGCCGGCGCTGAGCAAGTGCCTGGATGTTGTGAAGCTGCCACGTGGGAGGCAAATGGCGCTTGAGTTTTTCAAGGCGCATCTCGATCAGTGGGGCGCAATCAACCCCACACAACTGAAGTGAGGCCAGGGGGTTAGTGGCCTGGTTGATCTAAGGATATGTTTCGCGAATACTAAGTGGCAGATAGGGCTCATCTGCGGGCATCCAGATGCTGGCTTATATGTCCGGGTAGCTGTATTTGTACCGACACTAAGAGGTGCCTAATCTGCGATAATCGCGTTCCCCTCATTCGAGTCCTCAAGGCTTTGGACAACACCTCAGTTGACACTGGAATTGCTATTCCTGCAGGCACTGGCTTGTACGGTTGGCACCACTATTAGACGACCGCACCCCCGAGCTGCGCAAGCGCGCCGCCGATGTGCTTGATGCCTTGCTGGGGACGGCGTGGGCCCGCGAGCCCATTAACCATGTAGCGTATCAACACAACAGCCCCGATGTGGTAAGGACGTGTCTGCAGGTCTCGCCGTCCGCTTCCTGTACTGCTAGCTCTCAATTTTAGGTACCAGGGACTGCGGGCGCCTGGTTTTCAATCCATCTTTCCATACAGGTTGCACAATCAGTACTGTGGATACCTTGTTTTATTTGCGACGGCATCTGTAATCAACTACGCACCAGCTTATGTGTCAAATTAAAGCTTGCATTTCCACTTGTCAGGGCCGTGCACTTGTCAGGGCGTGTAGAGCTGGCCATGCGTATCATTTTACCTTCCTTTGGTGCGTACACGCATATACTTACCTCACGAACCCGGTATGGATGCGTTGTGAGAAGCTCTTCATCTTTAGCCTGCAATGGCTGTCACATTGGTTCAATTAAATTTAAATTTATACGCTTACCGACCGGCACAACATAAATGTGAAGGGGGCATGCCAGCTGAAGTGCCTCACTCCTTTTGGTGTCCTCCAGGGCCCACTTCGCAAGTACCTGGCGGCCCTGCACGCTGGTGGACTATCACCTCAGCCAAAAAGCGGCAGAGGGAGCGACAGTGGCGCCTCCACTTTGCACTTTCAGCACGGTGGCATTTCCGGATTATCTGTTACTGGAGGTCCGCCTGTGACAACCAGTGATCCCCGACGTCAACTGCCTTCCGCTACGATGGCTGCTCCGCAATCGGGCCCTCAGCCACAGCTGGTCCCGAGCATGGTCAATCTTCACCCACGTGCTCAGATGCTTCCGCCCGAGGATTCGAGGCCGGAACCAGTCGGTACTGTTGGCAGCCGCCAGGCTTGGGCGAGCAGCCCTTCGCAAATCCCAGCCCCAGGTTCGGCTGCCACAGGTGCGGGCTGTGCCACATGCGCTATTTCTTTGCGCGGTTCATACTTATCGCTTTGGTCACTCCTTATTGACCAGTCTTTGCCCGTTTCATCATCTCTTGTCGTGTCATGCGTGGCAACGCAGGGTTCTGGAATAGTGCTGCGCCTAGCCCACAGCAAGCCAACGTAACCCAACGCATCCAGGTCCAGCCTAGCCCACCGGGAGCGCGCACTCCCGGGACGCCGGGGCAAATGGCACTTGGAATGAGCCTTTCTGCGAACTACGCGGGCTCCTGCAGCACCACCAGTGCCCAGTATGTTCACCCGAACAGCCCGTCTCCAGGCCCCCGGCGGCCTCTCCAAGTACCTGCTGAGCCAAACGCTCAGCTGGTGTTCCTTGCGCGACTGGTGGACGCCGCCCGTGCTGCTGTCGGTTCCGGCCAAGGTGCTTCCGGAGCGGCCGTCCTAGGGATTAGTAAGGACCAGCAGGCTGCAGCCATGGAGGACCTCGCCGACGCGATTCAGCAGTGCAACAGGGACGCCTGGGTGCGCACTTTTCCACTGGTGGGTTGCGTAGGTCGGGTAAAAGCCTTTAGGTGTGTCGGATGATTTAGGAAGGCAACTTCAGAGGAGCTGGCATGCAGGAACACGATTTCGAAGTTATTGTTTGAATAATCCAGGACGCTCCTCTTATCGCACGGATGGTTTTTCAGCCAACGTCCCGCCTCTCCTTATTCCGCAGCTGATGGTGGAGGTCAGCTCGTGGATTCAGCAACCTGCTTGCGGTGTCCGCACATGGGCATTTTGGCTACTTAAGGAGTTACTGTTGCGCCAGTCTCACCTTTTCACAGATAACAACCTGGAGAGCCAGCTCAACCTCTTGCTGCAGGGTTGTGGAGATCCCCATCGTGATGTGAGTTGGCATCATAAAGTGTTTTGGTTTGGATGCATGGTCATTGTCGCACCATGCCATTGTGCCTTGGCTAACGCTTGCCTACGCTTACCCAGGTTGTGATGACAGCTAGCCAGGCGCTTCAGATCTTATTGTCAATCTGCAATGAGCACCACGCTATGACACTGCTGCAGCACCTTGTGCAACGTGAACGGGATTCGCACCTGCGCTCGCGTGACAAAGGAGCGCGCTTGGTTGCAGTTCTGGATGGCACGCGACAATTGATAACCAGGTATGCTTTGCTGTGGTAGGTAAATTTCCGACCCGCATATGGAAGTCATGTTGGTTTCCCCATCCAAACGGTTGCAGTTATGGACCTTGCGTCCTGCTACACGGAAACGCTGTGACACGCCTAGGTTTAACGTGCATGTCCGCTGCAGGCTTGACCGTACTGAGCTGCAACGCCTCGCTTTCCAGCCGCATCCTGAGACCCGCACTTCGCTGCTAGAGGCCCTGGTAGCAAATCTGTCGGATCCGGAAACATGTGTGCGGAGAAGTGCAGTACTTACCACGTCGGGGCTCTGGTACCGATTGGGCCACAGGTTAGTAATGCACCTGCAGCCTATTAAATAAGCCCCTAATTTCACATTTACCCTCGCCTTGGATCCTTGCGCAGGGTGCGCGACGTCATTCAGGTGCTGGCCGCATCATCATTTAACCTGCTCTGCATTTATTACCTGAAGCTTCACGGGGTTGCGGTCGATGCCGGACAGCAGGACGTTTCCCAGCATCCATTGATACAGGGGCCTAGCGGCGCAAGGGAATAGTGCAATGTCCGGGAAGGCCGCGCGGGATGAGCAGGTTGCGTTTTGCCTATGACGCTTAAGATCGGGGCAGTAATGGTGGTGTGCACCGGGGCAGTAATGGTGGTGTGCTACTCGATCGTGTAATAGCACCTTAGTCTCTTGGTCCTGGCAGTCTAACACAGATTTGCGTCCCTTGTTCATGGGCGGCTGTACTTCTGGGGCAATATTTGTATGCCTTCATGTGAGGTGTTATGCAGGCGCAGTTGCTTACGAGTCGTGGTGATTACATGGACCACATATGCAATCGTTGCGTGAAAAATAATCCACTATCGGACATCCCAGAAGACGTCTATCTCATGGCCAACGGTCTCACACCACGTCGTTTTGTAACTGTAACGCAAGACAGCACAGAGGCACAAGCGTCTCATCTGTTCCATGCAGGTATAGATCTTCACTGACGTAATAGTGTACATGTCTGTCCGCGAATGAATCATTTAGCGGCGGCTTGCACCGGATTGGAAGAAGCTCAGGGCGGTGCTGCCTAGGGACAGCTCCTTTAAATCCGAGTCAAGGTCAGCTGCTCCCTGGAAGGAAAAACCACTATTGAAGCTGAAGTTGCTACTGCTGTTGCTATTGTCGTCTCCACCGGAAAGCAACTTGACCCCTGCCAATGACATTGCCGGGGTCCCGGGCTGTGTTGGCTTTGTTGCCTTTTCAGGGCCCTCCAATATTGCAAATTTGGGTGGAGCAGTCCCGCCCCATCGCTTCGTAGGTTTGGCAGGGCTGACGGTCACACCCGAAGCTGAAATTATACTGCTTGTGTCGTTGTTGCCTGCCCTGGGCTGTGGTGCCGCTGCTGTCGAGGATGCACGGTTGGCGGCGTTGCTGCCGCCCAGGCCTAGGAACCTGCTGGTAAAGCTAGGGCGTGTGGCTAGCGGCCCCCCGCTGTTAAGGTGCGCTAGGGGATCCATTAAGTTGGTAGAACTGCTGCCCGCGAAGATGTCGTTTTTGCTGATCCCGGTCGCAGACGGTGGTAATCCGGAACCATAAGGTGATTGCGGCACGCGTGGTTGACCAAATCCTGACTGCCCGGGCTTTGCACCCGTCGCGGCAGCGTGACGCAGGATGAGCCTCTGCATTGTATGCGTGGACATTCATAAGCTAGGCAGCGGGGTACGGCACGGAAGGCAACGATCCAGACATGAAATCGCATGCTAAGCACCTGGCGTATAGCAGTTTGCAATCCCGTTAACCTGCGTCCTCTCTTACCAACCTGCAACTTCTCCGGCTGGGCCAAGACAAACTGGCTGATGCTTGAAAATGAGGGCCCTCCGGTAGCGTTTACAGACGTGCTTGCAGTGCTCCGGCCACTGAGGGGCGCTTCTTCCATGGCCTGCGCAACAAGAGCAGCAAGGTCGAGCACCGGGACTGGACCCGCCACCAACCGCCGGGGGGACGCTGGCCCCTGCGACGGCGCTGCCGAAAGATCGCATGGCGTGCCGTTGTAAGACATTTCGGCGGGAGTCTCAGTTGCTACGTCGACGACGAGCTTCACACGTGTAGTCTGCGCGTCAGTCCCTGCGTCGACCTTATTAGTCGAGATAACCCCATCTTCGCCTAATTTGGGCACCGGAAGCGGGCTGCAGCCGCGCGACGTGGTGGTGGCTGTCCCAGGCCGTGTAACCAGCGATTGTGTAAGCGCTGTCATCTGCGCTAGCGCGTCATCTTCCGTAATCGTGTCGTCGTACAGGCAGCCAACAATGCTCCGTATGCGTAAATTGACATCTGGCGTGCTGGGTGTTGCCTGTGAAATGGGAATGTCAAACAGCATATTTTCTCAAATGGAGTCTATGTGTAATTACTTAGTCCGAACCCCATCTACGCACTACCGATTGTGTGGCTTGTAAGCACGTACAGTGACAGCCTTCGCGCCCTTCCACGCCACTTAAGCCAGAACTTGACGCTTTCCAAAAAGCGGGAGTTTGCGATCCAAATACATGTTCCTTCGGCTTGCGGTATAGAAACAAACCCCGACTCCCTCCGGCGCCCAGGATAAACCATACCAGCGCGAGCGGAGCGTCCCAGAGATCCTCAACTTCTATTCCACCGCTGTCAGAGGTTGGTGAGCCGGGAGCAGCAAGAAGGCTGTCGTCGGCCTTGCTGTGCCCTCCAGGCAAAATGACTGAGAGTAGCGCCTTGGTGCGCCGCTTTAAACTCTCCATCTTCTTTTCGTGCTGAGCGGCTTGCTGACGCAATGCCAGTTTAAGATTGGTGAGCTACGACAGGAAAAGCAGAATATCTCATGGAGTCAACAGAAAACCCGAATGCCAGGATTTGCACAAGCATGACAGCGCTATGCCAAACACTCCGTCGTCGGCATCGTCTCTTCCCTCTCACCTGCCATGCATCTGCCTTAGCTGCCTTTGCCATACGCGCCTCATTGCTCAGCTGCAGATTTGCAATTTGCAAATCTCTGTTCTCGCGCTCCACGCGATCTTTGTCGTTAAGCAACTCCACGCGCTGGAGCGCAAGGCGGTGCACCTGTGCACATACCGACCGGCATGGAACACGTACCCAGGGGTTATGAGGTGGGAAGGGAGACCTCGCGGCCTGTCTATGAACTGGATCGCGCTGGATCGCCAAACCCTTCGCACACTGCCAACATAGGATAACCCACCTAAGTGCTAAAGGCTTGGTTACGCCATTGCTGCCCTACCTTGGCCGCTAATGCCCGATTTTGTGTAGCAAAATTAGCAGCTTCTGATTCAGCCTTTTCGGCCCGCTGTGTAGCCTCAAGGAGCGTGTGCTGAACCTGCGAAAACAATTGAGGCAAATAATGATAAGTATACAGGGAAGCAAGTAACGCGTCTATAATAGATTGGCAAAGGGCAAGACAGCGAATATGGGACAGCTTCCAATTTACATAATTGCGATACAGAACGCGCCAGAGGTTCGGCCGGACGACCATGCCTGCTCAAGTTCTTGTGACAGCGCTTGAAGACGCCGTGTCTCGCCATCCCGATGACGCCGGCCAAAACCAAACATTTATGTCAAGCGCGTCAGCCTACAACAGACTGACCTCACTCACGTCTGTTCATGCAAAAGGGTGACATGCAGTCGGATGGACAAGGTAAGCTATCGTAGTCTCGAAACTAGCAAGGAATCCTGTCAAGGATGCCCCAATTTTTGTTGTACCAAAAAGATCCAAAAAATTCGTACAGTGTGCAAATTTACTCAGTGAAAGGGAAGGCCAGGAAGATACAACACACGGATATTGCATGTCAAGTGTTGATGCAAAGAATGGGAAATTTTCACGGTATCCTTCAAGGGTTCAAAGAACGTTTGGCTCCTGAGCTTGTTGCTCAGTTCTCCAGTTATGGAGGGGATCTCATTCATTCACTTCAACCCTATTTTTCTCCCATGGCAAACCGCGCCGTTTTGCACGTTAGCTCAGCACGCTCCTGGGTTAACCAGCAGCTCCTGGGGTGCGACCCCGCGACAGTTGTCCTACTGACGGTGGCACTGTGCTTCTTCGTTATTCAGACCGTAACCATCGGGCGAAGGTTAATGCGGCCTTTCTTGGAGCGGGGCATTTTGCCAGCTGCCTTCGACGTCCTCCGCTGTCTGCCACCTTTGGCATCGATCATCGCGCGGGAAAAGACAAAGCTACGCAACCAGATATTGTCAGCGCGTGCTGCCCACAGCAGCGACCGGCTGACTAAGCTTCCGCAAACCGGGTCGACGGCGAGGGAGGTCCTGGGACGGCTGCAGCAGCGTTCCGAGTCAGACGTGAAGGTACGAACGGCAGTTTCGCATGCAATACGCCACTATGCCTGCGTAAGGACTAAATGTATGCCCGCGGCCTGACATAGTGCAATACGCAGTAAAGGCTATGAGGCTTTCAAGGTGACCAGCTTTAGGAAGGTAGTAAGATTAGCATGCAAGGGGTCCTGCTGTCAGTTGGATGGATGGATGTTACAAGCTAGCATAGGCAGTATGATTGATGGATGTTACAAGCTAGCATAGGCAGTACCGCATAGGCAGTATCGCTTTACCACTCTTGGGCGTACCAAACGAACTTACTGTCATCGCTGCCTATCTAACCGGCTGCCTGGCCATACAATTGCTGACTACAGTTAGTTGCGATTGTTTCCGTTAGTTGCGATTGGCGCACATACCAATGGGGGGCCTTCCTTCTACTACGACACATGGTGCTACGCCACTCCCCAAGCCCTTCCAGCGAATCCCTGTTGTCGTACACGGGCTGAAACAATTGCTTACAGCGTACATGCCACTATGAGCTCCCATATTACCTCCACGCATGCATTGCGTTGGACTGAAACACCGCTAGGGCGCTGACACGCGTGCGCTGTGATTCCCTTCCACCGGTCCCAGCTCCGGGGCGACAGCGAATCGGCCCTCAGCGGAGCCGTGTACATGCCGGCAGAAGGCGAGCACCGCACCCTGTTGGATGACGCTTACAGGTTGTTCAGTCTCGCCAACCCTCTGCACGCCGACGCCTTTCCAAGCGTCCGCCAAATGGAAGCTGAGGTGGTGGCAATCACGGCCGACCTGTTGGGGGGCGGGCCGAACGGATCTAACCCCAAGGTAGAGATCGGGGGCCATACATGACAGGTCTGCGGGGTGCCAGCACCTCATGGACGCAAATACCAGCGACGGACGAGCTATCTGCGCAGGCTACCACATGTTGGGAGCGGGGCGACTGCAGGGGCCAGGGGGGAGCGGGCGGCAGGCGCTGCAAAAGCCGGAGGTAGCCTTGATGGGGTTATCAAAGGAAGGGCCAGCGGCAGGGGAGGAGCTATGGAGAAGGTAAGGTGTTGACATTCAGCAGCCCCACCGGCACCTGCTTGGCCGTGCGCAGGTGTGCGGCGCCATGACCTCTGGCGGCACGGAGAGCATTCTATCCGCCGTGAAGGCCAGCCGGGATTACATGGCGGAGCAGAAGGGGATCAGGGATCCAGAAATGATCATTGGCGTTTCGGCACATGCAGCGTACTGGAAGGTGGGTCAGCGGACCAAGCGCAACCCCTAAAGCGGCAACTGTGCCAAGACGTATGCGTGAACCGCAATGTGCGACACATGATACGACAGTGCGCCGGAGGGAAGTGGAAACTGGTAGCGATGCTTTGTGGCATTACGGTGCTGGGAATTAAATTGTGACGACCGATACGGGAATACATGAGTTCCTTTGAAGTCGAGCTCTGGTGGACACCCGGTTTTGGAAAGTACGGAGAGGGCCACAGGTCAGAGGTTACGTGATATTCTGCCGCGCGTAAGTTCGTGTAATATCATACATTGTAAAAGTCTGCCTCACGGAAAAATTCGCGTCAGCAAACTCATCGACCCCGGAGGATAGCCTTTCTTCGCGATGTCGCTCAGTGGGCCATCATGGTGTTCCCGGTCTGTCATGTCTCCGAGCTCGAGGCCGTGGCGCACGTACCCTTGTGCAACGAGCGTGTGTGGCTGCCTTGGGTATGTGGCGCAGGCCGCAGAGTACTTCAAAATCAAGCTGCACGTGGTGCCGGTGCGCCATGACTTTCGCCTTTCCGCTGCCACCGTCCGCCGCTACATGAACCGCAACACTGCCATCCTAGTGGCCTCCGCGCCGGGCTTTCCACATGGCCTGGTGGACGATGTTAAGGTGAGTGTTTCACCGTTCCCAGAGGTCTCCGCGGTCGTGGGCCCTTTATATGCGCTGGAAGCACGTGTAGGGGTAATGTCGCAAGCCAAGCCAGGTCTGTGCAGAACCTGGCCCCAAGGTTTACTCTTCATGACATATTTCCTCGAGGACTGATTATCTGAATGACAGGGGTCCTGTTACGAGTCCGTGTAACTTGTGTTAACCACACTCGACGCCATTGCACGACTTTTTTCGACAGTCGCCCTAAGCAAGCAAAGTCGGCTGTTGGTGTCGGCGACGCATCCACCTTCAGGGGATTGCCAAGCTCGCCGCGCGTGCGGGCATCTGCTGCCATGTGGACGCTTGCCTGGGCGGCTACTGCTTGCCCTTCGTCCGACGTCTGGGAGGCCGAGTGCCTCCATTTGACTTCAGTGTGCCGGGCGTAACCTCCATGTCGGTGAGAGCGGTAGTGTGTGTGTGGGGGTTGTGCTAAGCAAAGCTCACTAGGTTGAGATTGAAGCGCGCTAACATGCTGGCCCACATGAACTTGTCCCGTCTTAACCTTCTCTGCCTCGTCACTGCTTCCCCCTCCCTCAGGCTTGGCTCGGCTTTCCATGTCGCCTTTTGTTTCGGTGTCGCCATCGTCGTAATGTGTTTATAAGCGTTGAAGTCCTCACCTCCTCGCCCATGCTCTCGCTACCTCTCCTTACCGCGCAGGTGGACACACACAAATTTGGGCAGGCACACAAGGGCACCAGCGTCGTGCTCTACTGCAGCCCCGAGCTGCGTGCGCACCAGTACACACGCATTACCGACTGGACCGGCGGCCTATACATCTCCCCAGGCCTGGCCGGCAGCCGCCCAGGTGCGCTCATCGCCACCGCTTGGGCATCGCTGGTGCACCTGGGCGAAGAGGGCCTTATGGAGGCCACCCGCCGCATCATGGCTGCACGCGATACTCTCATTGCCGGCATCGGCTCGCAAGTTCCCCAGCTGGAAGTCATTGGTGAGCCGGAGATGGGTGTAGTGGCGTTCCGCAGTCGCGTCATCAATATTTACGTGCTGAACGATTGGCTGGCAGCACGCGGCTGGCACCTAAATGCGCTACAGGCGCCGCCGGCGCTGCATTTCTGCTTCACGGCCATGAACGCTGCGGCGGCGCCAGCGCTGGTGTCGGCGCTGAAGCAGGGCGTGAACGAGCAGCTAGCGAATCCGCGGGCTGCAGCGGACGCAGCACGGCACGGGTCGGCACCTTTGTACGGCATGGCGAACGTGACGCCGGATCGAGGAATGGTGGCGGATTTCTTGGTGGCTTACCAGGACGTCATGCTGATGCCGTGATAGGTTGGGTCAGATAAAGATAAGCCCCATGAAGTGGAGCTGTTTGGTGGAGTTCACACCTTTCCTACAGCCATATATTCTACGCATAAGGAGTACATGCCCTGCGAATTTACTTATACATCGTAAACTGCTTCTGATACACCTACAAACTCAGAATGGCCTTTTTTGACGGATTCGTTCTGAAAGGTTGCGGGGAAATGCAGTGGCGCCGGGCGACGGTTGGGCTACAAATGTATGCAAGGAGATGCAGTCGTCGACAGCCTAATTTTGTGGTACAGCGTGCGATGCAGCTGTACTGAGTATGGGTTGTTTGGCAGAGATGAGCCACGCAAGCGACTGGGGGCGAACATGTGCAGATCGTCAATGGGGGTTTCTGTGTGGGGGTTCCAGACGTGCGATATGGGGGCGAATAATGCCGAGAGATGTTCTTGTACATCCTTCCGCAACCGGCACATACAGTATTGGCAGGGCGCGATAGACGGTGGCCATCAGCACTGTCCGACGCCCTTAGAGAACCAATTCTTGGTCCGATTAAGATGGCCAGCAAGGCCCTCTACCGTGATGCAGCGGCCGTCAGCCCTTTAGCAGTTCGTCCTCTGCCCACGTCCAAGAGTGGAAGGGCTAACTACTTACGGACCACACTCATGTTAAGTATTTCTTCCTTACACCCTCGTCGCCTCCTGGATCTTTCCCACTTGAACAGCTCAGCATCCATGACTTACAGCACCGCCACTATAGATAACCGCATGCTGACTTGAGAGTGCATCCGGGTCGCCGCCCCTGTGTATGTATGGTATGCTGGCAGCCCCAGGTGGTCCCCACACTCACCGACCGCACGCACTGCACAGTCGCAGTGCCATGTTGAACTGCATCCAAACCCACTCCCAGCCTAGTTAATGGGCCTAGTAAAGGCACACCGGTGGTTACGGGAAAACATTTGCATGTCACGTCTCCCTCCCCACCGCTACTAGACCCCATCCCCCGATCCATCCGGTGGGCACCTGGTCGCCACGTTACTGCTGGTCCTTAAGTGGCGGTGGAGCAAGTATCTGCAGGACAGGGTTTCCAACAGAGAAGTTGTGGCCATTGCCCGTGGACTGGCGTGTGCGATTGTTGGGTCCACTCAGGGCTACTAGCCCGGCAGGTAGCCCCATACCGTGGCCCGGTATGGTCATGCCCTGTACAGTCATGGTTCATGACTATCCAACGCTTTGCAACCTTACATTTTTCCACAGCCCTTCGGAGTGCGGGAGTCCCCAGTGCCCGCCAGCTGAGACCAGCCCTGTCCAACTTACCCGCTGCACCAGGTATGGTGAGGCGGCTCCCAGCGCGAATCCCAAGCAGTTACCGATCACCGGCAGCTTATCATCAGTGCGGCTGACCACGGGGCCCAACCCAAAATTGATGAACAGACTTGCCCACAGCGGCGAGAAGATCAGCAGCCACACCCATCGCCGCTGCACAAAACCTGCACATGCCATGTCACCGATTGAGCCTCAACGCTCTCGTGACTTCTGTGACCCGCATCCTAACGCGGCTGAAGCTTGTTCCACAAAGGAGACGTGGCAGGGGGCCACGTTGTCGTGCATCTAGCCGTCCAGCCATCAGCCACTGCCCGTCAGACCGCCGGCAGGTCTAAGAAACACCTCCAAGCGGCACTGTTAGGGTCCGACGCCAGGGCCTGTGTCTGCACCCGCTGCACCATAACCCCAGAACACCTCTCCTCTGCATGCGCCTCAATAGCCCACTCACCCACCTTGCGGTTCTAGTTTGGACACGAAGCCGGCCACCAGTCCGCCTCCGATGCTGGTAACCAGCGTGAAATAGTATTGCTCCTCCGGCAGCCCGGGGACAACTGCGCAGCCGCCCGGCCGGGCCAGGCAGCCCATGAGAACCTGCGTGCTGGCCAGGATGGCAGTTTGCTCGCCCTGAGGGGGTAGCAGCAGCATCGGCCAGCAGTCAGCAGAAGTGAGTGAGCAGGCGGGGGTTGGTCGAGGCTGGGTGCCGCGGACGAAAGGAGCGGGGAGGAGGGGCAGAAGAGAAAAGGGCGTGCGCCAGGCGGCTGCCCGGCAACATGGTTACCATTGGTCCCGATGAGATGCGTGAGCAATAGAGGTGTCGTGAATTTCCTTGAAGCAAACGCTGCAGGTGTAACTCTAGGGTTACAAGACCGCTGGGAGGAAAGAACCATTAACAGCGCTCTGCAGGCACGCCCTTTTTTACCTGCTCTCGGACGTAAAACAAATTACCGAAGCGGCCCTTGAACTCAAACCACCAAGGTCGCCTGAGGAGCACCACTGCCTCGTCGCCGATGTACGGCAGGTTGATGAGCGAGGGTGCCGTTGCGTCGTACTCCACGATGACACTGCCATGCAAAGTGAACGGCGGGCGGCGCACCGGTGCGGGTAACTTGCCGGCAGCCCTCGTACCACGTCTTAATGAACCCGGTCCGCGCAACTATGTAACAGCTCCAACGGCAATGATGTGGATCGGCACCTGCGCTGGCGGACCAGCGATCCGCCCTGCCGACCCTCACTCTCACCTGCGCTTGTCCAGTGGACCCCAAGCCGCCCGTATCTCCGTCTCGTCCGGCCGGGTGCCAGGGCCATAGCTGGTTACCACCCGGACATTCCAGCCAGTGCGTCTGGAGCGTAGCAGAAGCTTTTGGGGCCAGGGCAAAGGTAGTAGAGGTACCTTTCAGCGTGCGTTCGAAGAAAGGGAGAGCCGAGCGCGACGTAATGCCCAGGTCAGAGAGAGGAGCAGATTGGCAGCGGGAAGAGGGCGAGCTCAGCCAGCGCCGGAACTGTGGATGAGTGGCACACACTGCTGTTGAGAGGACCGGGCACTGCGGACAGTGTACATGAGCTCTACGGAGCACTGTCCGCGAACAAGAGGCACCTGCGCTGGGCCATGCACACAACTGTTGCTTGGCTCCTAAACATACTGCAGGAAGCAGGGACACCTATCGCGGCAGCGAATTTGCTGTACTCCCTTGTCGTATCGTAGCACAGCACAGGGCGGGCGGGAGGTAATGTACGAAATGTTCGGCACTAACCGTGAGAATTCCGCCAGCTCCGAGTCCAGGCGGTCCCGCTTCTCGGACCCCAAGAGTCGTCCGGCATCATACTGTTGGGAGGGGCGGGGCGCAATGTTATGCGACAGGTTGGGACGGGAGAGGTACTGTGGCACCGCAAGGTACTGGGGTGATCCGTGAGCGACTTCGGGGGCCGGTCATAGATATTTAGGTACTGTTTTCAAATGAATGCGGCGATGGGATATTTAATTGGAGATGGTTTAATGTGTGGGTACTTCCCACCTGCCTAAGGACACAGCACTGACGTCCCAACGCCCAACGGCTTTGTGCCCCAATACAAGTAGCGTATAGCGTGGATTGTGCGGCTCCTTATTGCCTATCTGAGTGAGTTCACATGACATAGATATAAAACCGTACAAAGCTTTCGCATCTGCCTTTCCGTGGTCCTAACTAACCCTAGCGTACTGAGTGCTGTCATCCTTACCACATAGGTACTCCGGGTAAGCGTGGGGTCCGCCCACGCCACAAGAGGCATTGCAGCTCCACCAGCCATCATGCAGAGGCTACTCAGCGCCGCAGCGACCGTGCAGCGCAGTCCCGTCATCAGCGTGTCAGCACGTTGCCGGTCCTGACAACCGTGTGCCGTTACAACAACGCGATTATATTTCTTCCGCAACATTCCTGGACATCTTGAACGAACCTCCACATGTTTACGCAGGGATAGCTGTGCACGCATGGTTGGGTTGAGTTTTCGTTGAATTTCAGTAAGTGGTTGACACCACATCATTAAAATCGATTAGCGGGAAAATTTTAAGCACAACCGAGGGAACATCCCTTGTGAATGGTGGGCGTAGGCCGCGATCTACGGCCAACGGAACTGTTGGGACGAGTTACGACTGAACCAACTTAACCTAATGGGCACGATCCTGCAAGTTATTGATGCAACAGCAATATTTTTGTGATTAAGGAAAGTCTCGATACAGCGTTGCCAGGAAGAGCTGTACTTGTTTCTCCGGCCAGCAGGAGCAAGGAGGCCTGCTCTTACCCTGGGTCGCATGTTACAAATTTGCCGTGTATTTGCAAGGAACGGATTCCGGCAGAGCTTTTCGCCTCTGAATTTGCCTAACTCGGCGGCGCTCCTTGGCTTCAGTGCAGCAACGTGCTGGGCCCCCGTGCCTTCAGTGAAGCTAACAGCTGATCAAGCTAAAACTAGGGATCATATCAAAAGCGTGATCATCGTTCCGGCGGCTACAGGTAAGGGACATGCTTGGCATTCCTGTAGCTCGCCCCGAGCATCAGTGTGGAATCATCTCCTTGAAGGAACTGAAAACTCTATTAACAGATTATGATTTGGGTCGACTGCAGTTTCCCCAGTCCCAATGGCGTCCGCAACAGCTGTGCTCGACAAGCGAATTGGCTTCTTGGGCAGCGGACAAATGGCCGAAGCCCTTGCACGGGGTCTCATCAAGCGTGGCCTTGTAACAGCTGAGCGCATTGCGTGCAATGATCCGAATCCCGTGCGCAAGGAGCTATTCAAGAGCTTCGGCGCCACGCCGTACGATTCCAACATGGACGTAAGCCTATGATCGCGCGGGATCACAAGACAGTCTTTTGCTCATGTGCCTGTCGAAGACTGTCAATATGCAATCTGGCTAGCAGGGACGGCAACTTGCCATTCAGTCCGAGCCTCACTTGCCGAAAACTTGGGCTTCATCAGCTCTCCTCCCAGCATTCCCAGCTGCAAAGAAGGACTGTTGGCCCCCTTTCCGCATCCCTGCGCAATGCATTAGGATGTCCTTGTGGGGACGGCCAAGAATGCAAAAGCGATTACGTGTAGTCCTTAGACACTGCCGCACACGCTGCCACCACACGGACTGGGTACCCCTTCAACACCTACACACGCTCCCATCGAACCCGCCAGTGTGTGACCGCAACGCCAACCTCTGACCAACTTCCCCGCGCTGCTGCTGCAGGTTGCTCGCAATGCCGACGTGCTGTTTGTGGCTGTGAAGCCGCAACACGTGGCGCAGGTACTGTCGGAGGTACGGCCCGTCCTAACGGAAGCCCATACAGTCGTCTCCATCGCGGCGGGCATCACGGTGGAGAAGTGAGTGAGGAGCGGTGACTTGGGGTTGTGGGCGTACGGGACTTTAGCAGCTGCGCAGGGTCCACAAGCATGTGGGCTTGTGGGGTAGTATAGGTGCAGAAAGTAGCTTTTGCGGGTTCCAGTTCTGGAACGATATTGCGCGCGACATAGCAGCCGCCCTCAGTGCCCTCAGAACCTTCTGCATGGTCCGTGAAGGTACCAGTCGCGACTTTGACCTCAACAACGGGAAGGTATCTCAGTTAAGGTCCTCGTACTTGCTGGTACACCTGCTTCCTCACTGCGATATGTCCTCAGGCTTGTGGAGGCGGCCGGCCCGGATGCACATGTTGTCCGTGTGATGCCCAACACGCCCTGCCTGGTGGGAGAGACAGCCGCGGCCATGTGCCTAGGTGGCAAGGTGAGAACCGTCACGTTTCAATGACAGGGCCGCTGCCCAGCGCAGCTCCCAAGTGAGCAGCGCGGCCGGGGCTGGTGCTACTGAAGTAGATGCCCCTTTGCTGTGAGATGCACTCGCGTGGATGCGACCCTGTGCGCGTCCAGGGTCGGGGTCGTGAAAGCACACATGCAGGACATGGTCCCCGTGAAGCTGCCTGCCAGAGCGTCAGGTGTGGTTCATGTTGCCTAATGCTTTACCTGATGCCTTCTCCTCCCGCGCCGTGGGTTGCGCCAGGCATCGGCTGAGGACGAGGCTCTGGTCCGCACAATCTTCGAGGCGGTGGGCAAGATCTATACGGTGGATGAGAAGCTTCTTGCCGCGGTGACGGGCCTGAGTGGCAGCGGCCCCGCCTATGTGTTCATGATGGTGGAGGCCCTAGCAGATGGTGGCGTGCGTGCGGGTGAGATCTTGCAGTGCAGGCTGCAAGGGGCGGAGTGGATGTAGATGGTGCACCAGGATTCCTGGGCTTCTCATACCGCGGCCCGCAGCATCCCTGGTCTGTCGTGGCATGTGCATGCGCGTCTTGGGGCTCCTGACGTTCTGTGGCCCTTCGGCGTCCCTTTGTAGGCCTGCCGCGGGATATTGCGCAGGCACTGGCCGCTCAGACAGTGCTGGGCAGCGCAAAGATGGTCCTTGAGACGGGCACGCACCCGGGAGCGCTCAAGGACATGGTGACTTCGCCGGCCGGCACGACAATTGCAGGTGGGTGAGGTTGATTGGAGAGCAGATGCGGGACGCGAGCGGCAGTGCTGCCGCAGGAGGCTTATCGGCGGCCGGTGCCTAGAGCGTTGGAAATTTCGAGGTTTCGCACACTCGGCAGCTTCGTTAGGTTACATTGGGGCAGCGTTGGACCTGTAAGATGATGTACAATCGAGTGTGGCAATCTTCTCGTGGGCAATAGGCCTTTGCGTCCCTGACATGGTTGGGTCTTCCATCTTCCGTCCTCTGCACTCGGTTTCCAGCGCTCTGTCCTCTTCAGATGAGCTGGGCGTCTTTGTCTCACCACCCGCTTCGCGGTGTTTGGGTCTGCCGTGTTTTTTCTTAACCTCCCAATAACTCGCACACAATTTCTTGGCTGGTGCCGGCAGGTGTGCACGAGCTTGAGAAGGCGGGTGTGCGTGCGGCATTCATGAGCGCTGTAGTTGCGGCAACAGAACGAGCCAACCAACTGTCCAAGATGTGATGATGCTGTGGCGGACGGGAAACCGCGGACGACGCGAGCGCCAACCAGTGGATTTGTGCGCTGCTGAGAGCTACCGTCATATTATCGGGCAAACAGAACCACTGTTTGAACGAACTGCGTTGCATATGCACGTTGCACGGAGCAGTAGCGATTCGTTTTATGGTTTGGACTAATGTTGAGGTAGCTCCTGGTAGCTTCCCTCAATGCGTAACGCCAAACGTAGTTGCTCATTATCGTCTATCATAAATTTGCTGATTGAGCTCCGCACCTCGTTGCATGTGTGCCATTGGAAACTTGGACTGAATGGGCGGGCTGACGTTTAAGATGCGTGATGTGTCTGCGGCTTAATGCTTCTTCCCGGATTCAAGCTGTCAACCGGAAGGTCTTCTCGCCCGAGAGGGTGGGGTGTAGTTTTCGGATCTCGGATGCTTCTGTGCGTACAAAGGAAATGGGGTTTCCGGGACTAAACCTGCATAACTGCGGGATGGTGTACTTGGTAGTGGCGCTAAAGCGTTACTGGTGTATGGAAAGGCATGTAGTATTAGAGCTCGCATGATGCTCGTCATTCATAGTTTGTAACACACCACGTGCCGCACAGCCTTCCTGACATATGAACGGCGACTGATGTCAACATGACCGGCCGCATGTGATGGGAAAAAAATTGTACAGCCTAAGCTTAAATGAGCACAGCACTGTTGCACCCAAGATCGATCCCAGCAGATCCTTGATAACTTGGTAACTGCTGGGAAGGCGGTCAACCTACGGCTTTTACGTTACAGTTTGAACGGCCTGCGCTGTCATCACTGTACAAGTCCTGCCCCACAGAGAAAATCATAAGCACCACGACCGTACGCGCCCATGACGCACGCTTCAAACCTTGCGCCCATACCGCCTGTAGGTGTCTTGTGTGCCAATCGCACGCCTAAGGACTCATGCCGTGCCCGCCAATCTTGCACGCACACCTGCAAAGACCACCTTCAGTCCTAGCAGTCCCAGTATCGTACAAGCGGGGCCAATGCGAGCGGTCCAGCTCCGGTCATCGCTTCATGCGCTGCAGCTTGGGGTCCTGTAGCGTAATTCGTTGCCGCACGTTATCCATGGCGATGATCCGAAAATCCTGCCGGACACCTACGAGCCTGGATGTTGAGGTAGCCGCCAGTGCTGCCGGCAGGATAGCGACGAAGCCCGCAACGCCGACCGCGAAGCCGCCAGGGCATTCGTTCAGCACCCTGCCGCTGACCAGCGTCTGCTGCTCCATCCTGCGCTGCAGCTCACCCCAAACGACTCTCCGCTGTTGCTCACGGTCTCCCTTCACCGCGGTGAGTTGCATGTCTCCGTAGGGCGTGTATACGCAGTCCACACGGAGGCGCAGCAGGTCCCCCGGCCGAATGTCTGCAGTGGACATCCGTGCGGGCAGCTGGCCATCGTCGGTATAGACGTGTGCAATGGTGACGTCGTCGCGCGGCACCTCAGAAAGCCCCGTGAAGCCGGTGTCCACGAGCACCCGCTTCGCGTTAACGTTGAGAACTTTTGCAAGGATTGTCTGGCCCCGAAGACCCGGCATGCCGCTGTTATACCGGCGAAGCAGGCGCAGCGTGTCAAGGTGCTCACGGGACACACTGTTTGAACGAAGCATGAGGCGAGATATCCCGTCGTCGAGCAAAGTGGTGTCAACGTCCTCGCATGCTGACGCATCACCTTGTTCGGCACTAAGTTGTCTATCTATTGCAGATACGATAGGGCTGCGGGGTGCACGGACACTGCCTTGTAGCTCCCGCAAGGAAGGGGGCAGTGACGGTGCAGACGTACTGGGAAGAAGAGTCTGATCGGAACATGACGTTGATAGCATCTGACACGATGATGCTGATTGGCCAGTCACGGCGTGCCCATCACGCAGAAGCGTTAACACTGAATGCCGTCCCTTTAACCAGAACGACAGGACTTGTTTCCGCATTGTCCTTAATTTCTGTGTCTTTGTCGTCTTCCCAAATTTAGGTGAACGGAAAACGTTGATGTGGGTAACGCACCACAGCCCTTAACAATAAATGCGCTGGCCCTCAAAAAATCGGAGCTACAGATAAAAAAATGTTTGTTTGGACGCGACCTACGGGCAAGGGTTCTTTGCGGATAGCACACATGTACGAGCACCCGAAACCAGGTCAAAATCGAGCAAGGTGCAACACCTAGGTTCGGGTTTGATAAGGATATGTACACTTGCGTAACAGTATCAGACCTTTTCATTATAGTTTCCGCAGAGCGTAGCAGTTGGACACGATGTCCGGCGTGACAACCTGTTAAGTATTTCTTCCATCACCCCATGGCGTATAGAGGCCCATGGATACCTGGCGAAGAAGACGGTGCGTACATGGGTTCTGAACCTGGGTCCACTGGGGGAGGATGGGTTCCAACGGTTTGACCAGCAGCTATCAAATGGAACTTTGCATGGCAACGGTGTCATGGATCTATAGAACGCATGTTTACTTCGTCAAACAAAGCGTAGAATAAAATATGCTGGTTATGCGTGTGGCATAAAGTTGACGCCTTGTCAGGCCATCTAGCCCATCTGTTCAGCACCAAAATTCCGAAATCAAAATCACCTCCCCTGTCCCGCGCATGTACTTTACCATGGAACCTATCTCTGAAGCCCATCCACAAAACTCTACAGGTCGGTTGAGTCCTGGCCTCAGCCCCGCCCGGTCGTACGCTACCCGTAATGAAGCCGGCTCAATCCCATGGGCGTCGGGCGCCCGTGATGCCTGGCGCACGACACCTGAGATGCTCAGATTACAGCGACAGCAGCCACGCCAGCGCCCGCCAAGGGAATATCTTACGGCTAACTCTCCTGCTTCATCGCCAGGGTTCCTACGACAGACCCGTCAAAACTCTTCATTGCAGGTGGGCCAGCACCACACCTGGTTTGCAATTAGATTCAGGTGAATTGAGCTATGAAGTGGTCCAGGGTGCATGGTAAGGAACGGAACGGAGCACTCTCTGTTTTATCGAAACCGTTTGGGGTTTAGCCCTAGGACTTTGACAACCTCACGCAACGAAACATGGGTACTGCTGTACTTGTACCCCTCCTATCCTGGCACGCTTCCAACGCGTGGCCTCACCTCAGCTGTCTGTGGAGGCGTTCCTTCTTAGCTTGCCGCTGGGGGATGACCCCGACTCCCTGGAGGTAGAGTCCCGTGTGGCAGAGCGGCTGTACGAGGACGAGGAGGCGCGCTCAGTGCTGCAGGAGAAACTGAGACAATGGTGCGTGCATGTCAGGGGTACATGGAAGGCGCGTCGCTTTCGCCGGCGACAGGAGGAATAAGTAATGCAGTTTGACGCGTTGCCTTGCACTGTGGCTTAACGAGGTGTCCATAACGAGAGGACCGGCATGGAACTGATCATTGCTGGGCTCGCAAAAGCCGCATAACCCCAGGCGACAGCTTAATCTCTGGATTATAGCCGCAGACTGGTTCTAGGCGAAACATGCTCTAGGCCTTGTTCAGGTGCACAATCTAGTGCATGCACCTTACCAGTAGTTTTGCTTGGTTTTCCTGTAATCTGCTGTAATGCCTGTGCTTGTGTTGCAGGTCGGAGGTGGCGATGGAGCTGTTCGCCATGATCTCGGAGCTCCGGGCTTCCCGGGGCGCAGTGACAAGCCCAAGCGGTGGCAAGCCAGGTGCGCTTGTTGCTTGCTATAAGTCGTGCGCCGCCGGGTGAACGGCCTGAGTCAGCCCACGGCAACGGCAACGATTCTCCTGTTGTTCTCACGTTTTGTGCGCGTGCCCATTACCCGGGTGAGAAAACCCGGATGGAAAGCTCTGCACAATCGGTCATACCCTCCACTAACTCGGTGCTGGCTGCGGCCATCCATGCAGATCCCGCCACGCTGAGTGCCATCAAGTCCGTTATTACATCCTTCGTGCTGGAGCAGCAGCAACAGACGCTAAACTATGACCGGGCGGATGAGACGCCGAGCGCGGTGCGGCGCGTGGCTGCACCGCAACCGCTACCGGGAGGAAGCGGAAACTCACTTGACACACCCACTGTGCACCACCATCACCACCCTAAGTTGCAGCAGCCATCCCAGCCACACCTCTTCAGCGATAGCGCCTCAGCGGGTGCCATGTCCACACCACATGGTCCCCAGCGCAACGGCGGTGGCCAGGACGACGGGCAGCAGCAGCCGGTCGAATACAAGTCGGTGGAAGTATTGCAGCTGCGACAGGAGGTGAGCGCATCGGAATTCAGGTTGCGGTGTAGATTTTCGATCAATACAGTCTTCTGCAACAAGCAGCAGGAACTGCAGCGTTCTGCAGCAAGCAGCAGAATACCGCTTACTGCACTTTAGCAAGGAGTCCATCAATCTCGCTGTCGAGAAGCGCTGGTTTTGTCCTCGGCAAAGGGCACTCTGACGGACAGGGACATGGGACGAACATTGATTTCATCTTGCATTCTCCAGCCTCCTGCCAGTGGGAAACACACTGATTGCCCATTCCATGCTTCACGCTTATTGCTCACTGTCAGGTCATGCGCCTGCGTGCGGAGCTCGCCTGGGAGCGTGCAGGTGGCGCGGCAACCCGTCATCAGAATGCTCAGGCAGCCGCGGATGGCAGCGACGGTGCTCCGGTCGCAGGGCGGCATTCCGGGAGCCCCGCCAGGACACCCTCCGCCGGATTGCATACCAGCGAGCACGATCATTCGCTTGCCACATCCGCAATGGTACAAGTGGCGCTAGTGCCCAAGGTATGCTGCGTGAACGGGATACTGAAACAGACCGTTATAGTGGTAGATGCGAGCACGCTCCTCCCCTTGTGGCGTGACGGACGTTTGAGGATTTGAAACCTTTGCTCATCTGGTGGCATTGGCGGGATACGGCGCGATGCAGCGACGTGAAATGAGGCGCCACGTTTTGCTGGGATTGTGAGACAGGCCACACGGCTCCCTGGCCTCAAGATGCCCTTATGTCTCAACCCCGTGTTTTTCCCAACGAGCAGGCTCCACAGGCGCAGCAGGACCAACAGCAGGCCGCCCTTGTGGACGCATTGCGTGCGGAGCTCGAGGTGGCACGCGTCGCTGTTGCCGAGCGGGGCGCTCAGGTAATGACGTCAGCTTGGGCTGAAGTCGTTTTAGTCCATGAACCACAGATTTGTTCGATTGTATCTACAGTGCGTGTGATCCGTAGAACTGGATTGTAAGTCCTCCGTTTGATACGATACAAAGTTTTCCAAGTATTCTGTCTCAATTATCCTTGACAGCCTTAGATCGGCCTCACTCGAATCCACGCCATGTGGCATAACCAGGCTACGACCGCAAGCGAAGAGGCACAGCGGCTTCGTCGTGCTTTGCTGGACGCGGAGATTGAGCTGCAGCAGGCTGCGGTGGTGGGTGATGCGGCACGTAAGCAGCTGACGCAGGTAGGCCTCCTGGCAGAGGAGCCCCCATGGCATGAGAGGAAATGTTAAGGAGCTAGCCTTGTCTGCTGCTGGTACTTCACACGGAGGTTGTGGGACCACCATCTAATTTCCTACTACAAGATGTGTCATGGGTATTTCGATGTCTGGCGCAGACTGAGGAGGAGGTCGCAGCGCTGCGCGCCAGCAATGCTCGGCTGGTTTCGGACCTGGAGGCGGAAAGAGGCAAGACAACAGCAGTGGTAAGCACTCAAGGAGGTCATGCGACTGTGGCAGGTCTGGACGAGACAACGGGCCCGAAACAGAGACATGTGGACAGGGCTTGGGTCAGATTCCTGGCTGCAGACTTGGGCATGTGGGTCAGGTTTCTGTCTGCGTGCAGACCCAGGCCGATCCTAAGCACATTACTGGGTCTATCGAAAGACGATATCATGCTTGCATCTATCAGTGCTGTGGTTATGCTCGGTGCAGGCGGCGGTTGTGCGACAGCAGCTATCTCAAGCGCTGTCGGACTTGGCGCTGTGCCAAGCCGAGATCGCAGCTAAGGATGCGGAGGCAAAGGAGCTGGGTGCGCGGCTTGCCGCCCGGACATCGGAGTTAGCGATGGCCACGCAGCAGGTTACGGAGCTACGCAGCGCCGCAATGGGGGTGAGCGAGTTGCAAGGTTGACTGGGACGTGTTGGTTGGCACATGCGGACCTCCTAGGTGCGCGGGACTACCTGGATGCACACTTAAGTCAAATATCCCTTATGACACTCACAGTTCCCTATTGCCCCTGGAGCAGGCCTCGGCTTCCAAACAGGAAGACCTTGCACAGCAACTTCATCATGTATAGTTGCGGCAATGCAGTGTTAGATAGGCTGATAGTGCTGGCGTCGCCTCCATCTGCCGTCCGTCCCCTCTCTTCTGCCACCCTAGACCCAGCCCCAGTCTGAGCGTGAGCGGCTGAGTGCGGAGCTAGCCGCAACACGAGAAGAGCTGCGCCGGCTGCAGCAGGTCCTCATGACACCCCTTCCTGACCTGGCGGGCGACGTGCGCGCATCGTTTGAAGTCTCAGAGACCCTTCGCCTCCGTCTGGAGAGGCTTCAAGTGGCGCTTGATGAGTGCCAACGTTTGCTGCTCGACGAGCAGCGACCCCAGAGGCGGCAGTATGAACAAGGTTCCGGCGAGAACGCACAGGTACTATAGCTTGGCGCCATTCCTTTTGGAACTGCCAAGACGTGTTTCTGTACATTCACCGGGAAACAGAACCCTGCGCGGGAGCTGCCTAGCATGCGATCTGCCTGTATGCTGATATCTAATTTGGGAATGCATAGGTTACACCACGGAGCTTGCTTGCACGGTGGCTATTTGTGTCATCACTACAACCATGTAAACCTTCTCCCTGCAGGAGCCGCCGAGCCCGATTCGTGCAGACCATTTGAGCGGTGCGCTGCGGGAGGTCGAGGAGCTGCGTCGGCAGTTGGCAGCGGCACTGGCTGCAGCCCTAGAGGAGCGCGAGGCGCAGACCCAGGCGCACGAAGAGGAGTTGCAGCGGCTCCAGGACCAGCTGGAGGAAGCTCGTGCTGCCACCGACATGGACAAAGAGGCCTTGCGGCAGCAGCTTACAGATGCAGGAGCGGCGGTGGCGGCGCTGCGGTCGGAGGTGGGCCGGCTGCGCCAGCAGCTGGAAGCGTCCGAGAAGTCCATTGCGGATGGCAGCCGGGAGGTGGAAGAGCTGCGCCAAAGGTTGGATGAGGCGGAAGCAGACTTGGAGGCTGCGCGCCAAGGGCAGCAGGAGCTGCTGGATCGGCTCGCGGACTCTGAGGCGGAGGCAGAGACACGGATCCAGGAGCTGGACCGCTTGCGGGGCCTGCTGGAGCAGGCACAGGGTGCAGCACAGACATCCAGCCAGGAAGCGGAGGCTATGCGGAGCCGGCTCGAGGTGTGATCGGGACGAAATAGGGCGATGTACGCATATGCATAGATGTATAGATATTTACATATAGTGGGTAAAAGAGCAATGCTACTGAATAAGTAATGCTGTGCGCGGGGGGGAAGGCGGAGCCACAATCCGGGGTTAGGGCACAACAACAGTCCACCGGGGACGGAGTTCGGCAAGGTGTGTGTGTGTGTGTCTGCGCCATCCCTTTTCGACCTGTCCCGTGCATGCGATCACCAGGCGGACCCTGGATAATCGCTGTTCCTGCAAGTCTCCCCACCTGCCTTGTCACGCGCCGCAGGCTTTGGTCGCCATGGATGCGGCCGCCGCTAACATGGCGGAGCGAGCTGAGGATGGCCGGCTGAAGCTGGAGGCGGAAGCGGAGGAGCTGAGGCGGAGGCTGCGAGTAGCCCAGGAACACCAGGCTGTGGAGGTGCACAGGTATAGGTCCTTTGAGAATTCCGAGGGTGTGGAAGAAGGTCTACGCTCGTGAAAGGGGTGGGAAGTGCAGTGATGAATGGTGCCAGGCGCTCTTGGCGAATGGGTCCTTCTGTAGAAGGGGCTCTGGACTAGCGGGCAGGGGCCCTAAGCAATGTAGGGTAATTAAAAGCGCTGGCGTTGGTGAGCCTGCAAATAATGGAAGGCCTCGCGTTGGGGGGCTGAATGGCAAGGGGGATGACTCTCTGGGAGCGTTAGCAGGGTGGTAGGCAGGCAGGTTCGACTGCAGCCATCCGAAAAGCGGCCTCAACGCATGCCTGTTACCAGGGTTGTGCGTTGATAGTTATTTACGCCGAGCCCCGCCAAACCATCAACTGCACAGGGTGAATGAATTACTGGTAAAACAGAGTGCGCTGGAGGAGGAGCGCGACCAATTGGCTGACCGCTGCCTTAGACTGCAGCATGAATGGAACGAGATCAGGGCAAAGTACGATAACCTGCGGCTGGATAGGGAGGAATTGGCAGGACGATGTGACAGACTGCAACAGGAGCGGGACGCACTTAAGCAACAGTACAGCAAGCTGTATCAGGAGCACGATATGCTTAAAGAGCGGTACAGCAAGCTGCATCAGGAACAGGACAAGCTTAAGGAGCAGTACGGCAGGCTGCAGCAAGAACGGGACGACCTCAAGGACCAGTACGGCAAGCTACAACAAGAACGGGATGAGTTCAAGGACCAGTACGGCAGGCTGCAGCAGGAACGGAATGAGTTCAAGGAGCAGTACGGCGCAGCACAGCTGATACGGGATGAGCTCATGGACCGATACGACACTTTGCAGCAGGAGCGGGACAAGCTGAAAGACCGGTATAGCATGCTGCAACAAGAGTGGACCGATTTAAAAGACCAGTACGCTATGCTGCAGCAAGTACGAGATGAGCTCATGGACCGGTACGATGAATTACAGCAGGAAAATGACAAGCTCAAGGGGCAATATAGCATGCTGCAGCAAGCACGGGATGAACTCAAGGATAGGTACGGAACTCTGCAACAGGTACGAGATGACCTTATGGAGCGTCACGGCACAGCACAGCAAGAGCAGGACGAACTCCAAATCCAGTACAGAATGCTGCAGCAGGAACGGGACGCACTGAAGGATCGATACCAGTCACTCCAGAAGGAACGAGATGAGCTCAAGGACCAGCATGACATGCTGCGACAGGAACGGGACGGCCTTAGGGACGAGTTCCACACGCTGCAGCAGGAGAGCGACGAACTACAGGATCAGCATAACAAGCTGGACAAGGAATACAGGGAGCTCAAGGATCATCACTGCAAGCTTGAGGAACATGTCAAGACGCTCACCTGTGCAAACCACACGATCTCTGAACTCCGTGCGCAGATGGAAAATTTGCAGAGGGACGTGCAGGTACGTGGGAAATTCATTGCCAGTCGCACCCAACGCTTCGGGTGGGAACTTTCGTCCTTCTGCCGTCCCCTTCACCCTTCAGAGTATGGCTAAATAGTTTCCAAGAAGCGTGGCGGTGTCGTGCACCGGAGGCTGAGCACGCCTTACTGGCATAGGGGAATAACTCACGGCCCATGTTGGCAGCTTTCGTTAGCACCAAGCCGACGTGGCGCTTTCTCTTCGCTGCCCCTTGGCTTCTTTCGTTCTTTTCTTCACGCATGCCATCTGTACCATCGCCATACTCCTTTTGTTCAAATGGTTTCCTTTCTTCCCTCCTGTTGGGTCCTCCAGAGCACTATGGCGCGGAACGCCAGGCTGACGGCAGAGCTGGGAACTAAACAGGCCGCCTTGGATGAGGTGGGTTCAAACGGGGTTCCAGGGTGTATGATAAGCGGGCCATTGCGGATGCGGCGGCCTAAGCAGCTATGTTCGTCCTATTCGTCAAGGAGCGCCTGTGTTATAAGACCAACGACAAAGGAGGTTCCGGGTTGAGCATAAGGTGGTGCATACGGCATACAAAGCGGCTGGACGCGTAACCCTATCCCCTGCACCATTTCCCTTCGTGAAAACATTTAGCGCTATACCTACTCAGCCTCCGGTCTTGCTTCGCCATCCGGCTTCTACCCTTCGTCCCTCCCTACCCTCTTCTCCCCTTCCTGGACTTCTGTACTGAGGCATGTGTTTTGACTCCTAACCCACACATCCACTCCGTAACATAGGCCGAGGCTGAGGTGTCCCGCGTAACCTCCGCTAAAGAGGCGTTAATCGTTCAAAACGAGGCGTTGGTGGTTGAAAACGGACAGTTACTTCGTAACCACGAGGCTCTCAGCGCTGATTTCGCGGCGGTGCACGACGAGTTTGCGGACCTGCAGAGTCAGGTGGCAGAGCTGCAGTTGCAGCGTGAGCAGACGGCCGCTGTCGAGGCGGAGTTACAACAACAGCTAGCGGAAGCTCATGCGGCACTTGGTGCCAGCAAATCCGAGGCGGCATCGCTTCACGCACGGCTGATCGACTCACAGCAGCTTGCGAATCAGGCGGACAAGGATCTGGATGAGCTGCGACAGCGATGGGCGACCACAACTGCGGCTCTGGACGCGCAGACCCGGGAAGCGGACGCATTGCGTGAGGAGAAAGCCAAGCTGCAGGCTGGGTTGAAATCGAACGAAGAACGACTTGGCGAGCTGCATCACCGTGTGCTTGTGGCGAAGCAGGCGGTGGAAGATCGCGGTCGAGACCTTGATAATTTGCGGCAGCAGCTTGCAGATAAGCATGCGGAAGTGGAGGCATCTGGCCGTAAGCTGCAGGAGTTGCGCGGCCAGCTTGCAGAGGCGGTGCGGGCGGTGGAAGAGCGAGAGCAGAAGGCGGAGGAGCTGCGGTGGCAAAAAGCCGAGCTGCAGGCTTTGGTGGATGCCAAAGACCGGGCAACAGAGGAGCTGCGGCGGGAGTACGCCGCGGCGGTGGCAGTGGCCGAAGGGGCAAGCCGTGACTTGGCTGCGGCTAGTCGAATGGAGGCCGCAGAGTTGTCACAGCGGCTCGCGGCGGCGAAGGAGGAGGTGGGTGCGGCAGCATAACATTGAAGCCAGCGGCAGTAAATTAACCAAACTGAACGTTACCGGCCTTACTGTTGAGTCCCATGATTTTGATCTTGACAAGCATTTCAACGTCCTACAGTTTGGGTCTTACTCAGAGCGCCGCTCTTGTCAGCCACACCTCGCATCTCCCGAACTGTACGATTCCAAAAACTCTGTTACCATTCCTATCCCGACCCATCCCACACCATACACTACGCTAAACCCGGCACATCTGCAAGCAGCTGGCTGAGGTGCGGCGGGCTGCCGCGGCAGCCAACATGGAGGTCGATGAGCTTTCACAACGGCTCAAGGCCGCGGAGGAGGTGGCGGAAATCGTTACACACGACTCGAACAAGTTCTGCGCGCAACTCCGGGAGCAGCTTGCCAGGGCCCAGGATGAAGCACGGCTCTTGAGCGGCGAGTCGGACCGTGTGCGGGAGCAGTTTGCGGCATCCCAGGATGCCGTGGAGGCATTGGAACGCGAGGTGAAGAGCCTACGCCAGCAACTGGCCTTGTCACAGGATCAGGTGGCGGCGGGAAACAAGGAGGTGAAGACGCTTCGGCGACAGCTGGCACGAGCGCGCGAGGCTGCAGCGGCGGGTAGCAAGGAGGTGGATGACCTGATGCTGCACCTTGCGGAAGCACAGTCAGAGGCAGCGGTCGCGATCCGGCAGGCGGATGAGTTATGCCAGCAGATGGACGAGGCGCACGTGGCCGTGGAGGCGGCGGTCCGCGAAGCGGATCAACTGCGGCAGCGGCTTGCGGATGGGGAGCAACAGCATCACCACCAGCAGCAGCTGATCGACGAGCAGGCGCGGGCCTACCAAGAGCACCCCGCAAAGCAGGCGCTGGCTCGCCAGGCGCAGGTGCTGGCGGAACAAGCGGTGGAGCAGCAGGTGCGTGTGGCAGCGCTGCAGCGCCAGCTCGAGGAGGTGCATAGGTCCCTGACAGCCCTTGCGAGCCGCAGCCAGCAGCTGATCCAGGAAAATGTGGGACTGCGGCGGCAGCTGGATGAAGCACAGCGCGCGGAGCGCGTGGCTCGTGAGGCTGCGGAGCAGGCGCGCCAGGGCGGCGACGTCAGCGAGGAAGCGCAACTTGTAGATGCACTGGACGCGGAGCGCGAGGCGCGCATGAAACTGGAGGGGCTGGTTGAGGAACTGCGGCAGCAGCTTGATGGGGCGCGTCTTCGATCGGCAGAGCTGCGGAAACGGGCGGCGGCAGCGGAGGCGGCACGATCAGAGGCCCTAACGGAGGCAGCTGCGGCGGCAGCGCTGCGGGCGGATACGGCGGCGGCGACGTCGGCGCATGTGGCGGAGCTGGAGCAAAGCTTGGAAGAGATGCGCAGCCGGGAGGAGCAGATGTCTCGAACACTGGACGAAACTGTCCACCAGGCGACTGAGCAGGCGGCGACTATTGCGGCCCTGCAGGTGCTAGTGGGTATTGTTTCTCTGCGCAAAGAAGGATAGGTGGAGAGGATTAACAAGGAAACATGGTGTGTCCAGGATTTGTTCTTTGCGTCTGGTTTACTGAATCCTGAACATGCCTCTTAGTTCCCCAAAGGGGAAGAACCAAAGGGAAACCCCTTTCGTGGTAGTCTTGGATGAAGTCTTGCAGGAACCCGAAAGGGCTATGCCTGACTGTGGATGACTGGCCTTGAGGTCGAGGCGTAGTGGAGCTCTCTGATTGGGATGACACGTCAACCTGGCCCAGAAGCCTAAGCTATGTCCTTTGTGTACGTGTTGGTGTACCATGCGTTGTGGCCGTGCAGGGAGAGTTACGCGCGTATGAACAGGTACAGCATCATGTGATTTCAGGGCTGCAGAGGATGATCAATGGAGAGGCCCCCAGCATTGTGCGCCCAGCATCTGGCGGCGGTAGCGGTGGTGGAATGGCCCGCCGAAGTTCTGGACTGACTCCAGACGTTCACAGCCCGGGGTCCTTGCGCAAGAGCGGCGGCGGCGGCAGCATCAGCCCCGTCTTCCCTTCGCATCAGCACCTGCGAACCGCGCTCATGGTGGCCAGGCAGAGGGTAAGGGCACCGCATCTGCTGGTCTGGTGACGGGAAGCGTTACCTTGATGCATTGACCGTACCCGTGTGATGCCTTGTTTTCTGCCATATGAACGAGCCTGGCCATGAACAAGGTGTATGTATCTGCTGACGGGATTCGTCCTATGGTGCGCCACAACGCCAGAAGTGATTCCATGGGTGGCGGGTGCTTCGAGTTCTTGGCATCCTGTGACCCAATGCCCCTTAGCCGCATATCTCCAGCCGGTGTTTCATTGCGAACCCCGCGGAGTCTTTTCGTATGATCCCTCCCTGTAATACTTTCGTAGATTTTGGCGCTCGAGGACTACTTGACTACCAAGAGTGAGCTAGTCGACGATGCGCCCTTAGTTGCTAGCGTGGAGGGAGTTCGGTACGACTCCGCGGTTGATGTGCACGGCTCCGATTCCGGCTTTGGGCGCAAGGCCAGTCACAGCGAAGCTGCGGCAAGGGGCAGCCCCATTGATCAGCTGGCCAGCGTGGAGAAGCGCCTTGCAGCTGCGCAGGTGTGGTGCGGCAGGGGAAGTTGGCTATCCTTGCTTGCGTTTTCTGGCGTCCGGCGGCAAGAATGTCGACAGTAGAGGGCACGTCACCGCGTTCCAAGGGAGGCCCGTTACTGAGTACTGACTGATCCGGCCTCGGGATGGCCCTGCCCGGGTTTATTGCTGTTTGGCGGGCGACGGCGCAATGGCGGCCCCTGAGACCACGCAACCCCCGTGAAATTGTTCGTTGGTTTCGTGTGTTATACGCTAGAGCTGAGTGCTTATGCAGTAGTGGGGTATTGGCAACAGTATTCGTGAAATTTTAGAAGCTCATCGTGGGCAATTTACAGGTGAAGGTCACGTTGGTTTATACGAAATTCTAACAACTTCATGGCATGCTCAATTAGCTATTATCTTAGCTTTATTTGGTTCATTATCAATCATCGTGGCTCATCATATGTATGCTATGCCTCCATACCGCTGCTCTCTTGCCCATCGCTGCGTCAAAACGTGCTACTTGGCGTCAAAATGCGTGCCCCCTGACGTCCCGGTGCCGCAGAGCGTCATGTCTCAGCAGGAGGCCCACGTGGCGTCCTTGGAGCGGGAGCTCCGTCAGCGCCGATCCGCGGCTGGTTTCGGCGCCACTGCCCTGGCGGCCGCACGTTCCCTGGGGCTTGACCTGGAGGTGAGGACCGAGCTAGCGGCTGCCCCACGGGGTTCCAT